ATTTCACATGCTTCTGTGTGATATTTGATCACATAATATTTATTTTGTGCATCCGGTATGAATGGATGCGCGCGTAAACGTCTGTCCCTCAACACTGTACCCGCTCTCTCGCGCCCGGTGACGCCAATTTGATTCACACCTCCACCCTTGAGTCCCGATGCCGAACCGCGAGGCCGTGGGAGACGCCCAAAACCCCAAGCGTCTTACCGGCAAAAAGACGGCGAAGAAGCAGCAGCGGCCGTCTCCAAATCTTTTCCCCGTTCGAAGCAACCCCGCCCGGGACCACTTCCCCGGTCCATAGACGATACATTCGTGCGAGAACAGATCCAGAGAAGAAGAAAGACACAAGCAGGAGGAGTCGATCCATCCGACAGTGACCGTTCTTGTACCGTGGGTTTGGTTTGGAAATCTTCTCTTGTTGGCTCGAACCCCCGACCGGTAGACCAGCGAAGCAACTCTACGAATCGAAACAAGGCATCGGAAACGACGCAAATTAGAAATCAAGGTAGCAAGCAATCGGGCAAGCGAGAGAGGCAGCCTGGCACGAGCATGGTGCCTTCCGCGAAGACAACAATCCTGCAGCTCCGTCCCGGTCACAATCCCGGCACCGATTTCGAGCGAAAGAAAAAGAACAAAATCAAAGAGAACGAAAAGGAGACAGAGACCGACAACAGACGTAGCGTCGTTTTCAAACCCCGCTTGGCGTGGGTCTTTTTGGCCGTCTTCCTGGTGCTTTCGAACCTGTACCAAAACCCACCGGATCCGCAGCGACGCGGAGGAACAAGAGCAATAGCAATAGCGAAGGCAAAGGCAAAGACAAAGACAACGCCAAGCAGAAAACCCAAGCGACTCGCGTACTACCAGGCCTGGGATCCGGTAAAGGGCGTCCTGAACGCATCCCTGCTAAGGGATACCGACGGAAGCGGAACCAAGGCCCCTCAACACCAAACCGAGACGCCCCTCGGCACTCGGCTGAGGAAGAAGACCAGCTTCGAATTGCTCCAGGAAGTCTTGCATGATCACGAACGAGAAATCGATCACAATCTCGACTACAAACTTGATACCAACCACAACGATAATGGCAGCAACAACAGCAAAGCTGCGCCGAAACTCTCCTGTTTTGCACCGGATCTCGAGCGGACGCATCGTGCCGTGACAAGAGCCCGGCAGGAATGGAAGAAGCGAGAACAAATCCAGCGGTCGAAACCCGGCGACGCGGTCCTCGGCCTGCCCCTGCTCAATGTGGGAATGCCCAAGTCGGGATCGTCGACCCTCCTCCGGTTTGTCCGGCACGATCTCAAGTGGAAGGCCACCCACAACGTCGTCGAGAGGGCTGCAAGCGAACGCGACGGGGACCAGAGGCTATCACCTACACGAACACTAACACCAATACCAACATCACCACCAACACCACCACCACGACGCTCGTACGTTGGAAAACTCATGAAACAGGCCATCGACGTGGGCCACCCGTCTCCCTTTTCCCTCCTCTCGCAGGGTTATCGGGCCCACACCCAAATGGACTACACGGTGGTCTCCTCCTCCGGTCAAGAGGACGACGAAACGAACTTCTTTCCCCAGATTTCCTTACTGGACGAGATCCATGCCTCCGAACCGAACGCCACCTTTGTGTTGTTGTTCCGTCCCATCGACGACTGGATCCGGAGCGTCCGATCGTGGCACCGGTTGCCCTTTCGGTGGATGGAAGCGAGCAAACCATACTACGGAGCGGCCACGCAGATCCCGGGATTAGTCCTTACGGAGGACCAGAGGACGCGGCGGACCGAGCGCCCGGAAGAACCCCTGGCGGCCACCGAATCCCAGCTGCGGGACTGGTGGTGCCACCACGTCCGCCACATCCGGCGGTTTGTCGACGAGTACCCGTCCCACACCCTCGTCGAACTAGATTTGTACGACAACCACAACCGCGACAAACACGAAGCCGGCGACGACTCGTCTCTTTCCACCACCGAGACTCTCAGGGAACTCTTCTTCCCTCCCGGTGAGAGAAACCGAACCATCACATGGGGAATGGCCAACGCAAACCCGGCGGCGGCCTTTTCTATCGGCTCCCGCCCCGGTGGCCCGATTGCTAGAAAAACAAAGTACTACGAACAGTGGAACCACGAGACGCAGCGACTGGAATTGGAACGGGAACTGGAGGCTTCGACCAGAACTAAGGGGCACCAAAACAGCAGCAATAGCAGTGCCACCAATTCTACTTTACCCAAAACGAGCCTGGAAATCTTGGAAACGGTCCTTAGGGAGCGCGAGGAATCCAAGGAAGAGGGGAGGGACTGGGACGAAGAATGTTTTTTACCCCGGCCCTTTTCTGTCGAGAAGGACGTTTCTCATGGATCAATGATGAATTCCAATTCGGCAGCACTCAGCAACCCTACAAACAACAACAGTGACGACGAAGTGACGAAGGGTTCCAAAGCCGCAGGGACGGTGCTGCTCCCGCGGGTGCCCTACCCGATTCTAAACGTTGGATTGCCCATGGACCCCTGGAGCGATGCCCTCCGGGATTTCTTTTCATGCCTGGGCCTAAAGGTGGTCCACCGAAAGGCCCTCGGTTCGAATGGGACCCGGCGGATCGGGTCGGTGGGAAAGAAAATGCGCGAGGCTGTCCGAGACGCCCACGTCGGACCTATCTCGGGATTTTTCGGGACCAACCGGCAGGTCTTTTCTGCTCTGGATTACACGCCGTCCCTCGACTCGGCAAGTGCGGCTTCCTCCTCCTCATCGTCTTCCTCGTCGGCAGCGATATTTCCCCAAATCCAGCTCCTGGACGAGCTTCACGAGGAAGACCCGTCCTTTACCTTTTTGTTGCCCGTGCCCCCCATCGACGAGTGGGTCAAATGGGCCCAGACCTTTCACAATTTCTCCGAGCGATGGGCCCGCATGGAAATGCCTGGGCTCGTCCTCACCGACGAGCAACGTTCCGCGAGGCATCGCCCCTGCCCTCTGGTTGAGAAATCCACGGACGGCGAGCAGCAGCAGCAGAACAACAACAGTAACAACGGCAACCACACTGCCACACTCAAAGAGGACACAGGTAACCACCGGGACACCGAGGAGCAGCCCGAAGAAACAAGGCGATGCCTCCGCCTAACCGACCAGCAGCTGAGGGATTGGTGGTGTGGACACGTCCGGCACGTCCGAAGCTTTGCGGAGGCCCACGGCGATTCCCACGCGCTGCTAGAACTCGACTTGTCGCCTGCAAGCCGGGGACCGACGTCCTCCGCCCTGAACAAAGTCTTCGGGGCGAACCAGACCTGCATTGCCAAGCTCTTTCCGAAACGGACGCCCGCGGCGGGAGAATCCTAGCCGTCCAGGAAGCAACCCACCCACAAGACCCTTTGGATCTATGGTACACTTTGCAAGAAGCTACAATGAACGAATTCTAGGTGAATGAGTGCGTGCTTTAGTTGGTGGTGTCGAGCCATCGTCGGGCGCGTTGATGTTTTCTAGCTCAGTAGGTGCTGGCTCATTCCCAAGAGTATACGATTATCTTATTCAGCTTCGAATAGGTTTGCCACTAGCAATTGGCAGCTACAGTACGATAGTGACTTTATGAGAACCATCCAAAACGGTCCAAATGGTTTGCTGCTAGCAGCGTCAGCACAATGTCAACAGCGAACGCTTGGAGCGATACCACATTACGGGCGATACCGAAGGATTCAAGTTCTAGATTTATTTGTCTGGCATCGCAATAAGCTGCATATTGTAAATCACCGTGGGGCCTCTCTGATGCGACGTGTCACGATGCTATAATTTGTTAACGGAGTTAACGAGCATCATACCCTTCAACGGCTTCCCCGGCGGATGGATCGATCCGCACGGTACCAAACTTTCATTCCAATGGGCCCGATTTCCTAGTCAGTTGTTTGTGGGAACATTCAAAACCTCCTGTGCCATTCGACATCTTCTCGCGCCCGAGAAATTGTTGCGGTTGGCACTCCTACCGTAGGTAAACGAAAATGAAAGTGGTCGATGGTATCTAAACGGAACTGGTATGGTACTCGTACCGTAGGGCACAAAAAAAATCCACAAAACGCCTTGTGCATCCGATGCATGGCTTCACAAAAGATGTACCGGTACAAGTACGTACGTAACTCCAATACTCGCGTACGACAGGAGCAAAGTTATCCTTTCACGCCGAGTTTACGTCCTCGTCCTCAAGTATCCTTCGAACTGAGAACTGTGTGTCACAATTGCCTAATACTATAACTTCTACACAATCTTCCGAAATGGCCAAAAACAAAAATACTATGCCCTTTAAGTACTACCGTTAAATTCGGAACGTTCCTCCAGTTCACGACAAGGCCCACGTACAAGGTACTAGTACGAGTACCACACCACCGTTTCGTTTGGGTTAGCAGAAATACTAATTCGTAATTCAAAAAATCCTGAATGAAAAAAATACCGTTGCGTTTTCGTTCTCATACGGTACATTCGCTCTTGCCCTTGCTTTTTCCTTGTTTGCGAAGATGACGATGTAAGGAAGTGTGGATGGCATCCGTATGCTGCGAGAATACAGTCCTGCGACAAGGCAAAAGTATGTCACCGGTTGCTATTAGCCAATTCAACCATTCCAGACGAGCCCGTAGTCCATCGAGTGGGAGGAATGAATCAATTACATCTTCAGCTACAACCGCGGCAGCAACGGAACCGGAGAGAATGGTTTGGCGTGGGAGGGCACAGGACACAGTAGTCTCTTCTGGAACCAACCCAAACACTCTCACGCGAAAGCCCAAGACGATCAACAGGGACAACAGGGACAGCAACAACAACAGTCGCGTCCAGAAGGACAATGCTAACACCAATGATGGTGACAGCATTAGCAGGATCAAAAACAACAACAACACGATTTGCGGGAACCGTAGACGGCAGTGCTGCCCTGGGTCCACTGCCTGGATCGTGGCGTGGATTGTTCTAGTTCTCTGCCGGCAGCTGATGACCGAGACGGGCCTCCTCCGAACTGCTCTGGCATCGTATGGTGCTCCTTGCCACTATTTTGACCGCGGCGGTTGGACTGAGCAGGGTGACGAATGCGGATACGGACGTGGGAACGGAAGAAACCGACCCAGCAGAAGCGCCCATGGATCGAGTGTAGATGCTTCTAGCAATCAAACTCTGGGGAGTGACAATGACAAAAATAGCAGCAGCATCAACATTACCGTCCCCAGCCTTCCGTCGGCTTTGGACCTGCTGAACCCACCGTTCAAGAAAAACTACACAATTCGGGTCCTGGGCGGGGACAGCATCGGGGATATTTACAACAGCAATTGCAATGGCAGCGATACTGCTGTGACTACAACCAGCAGGAAAAACAAAAACAGCAACAACAGAAATATCATCGTGACGGCCTACTACAAGATCCCTTCCAAGCATACCCCGGAGCGCTACAGGGACTGGATGAAGAATTTCCTAGGTCGATTCCGAGACCCGGTGGTGGCATTTACGTCGCCCGACATGGTCGATTCCCTGGCGGCACTGCGATGTCCATTGTCGAACTCGTCGTCAAGTAATTCGACTTCGGATAAGGATCTGAACCGTTCGTTGTCGCAATCACCGGCCTGCTTTCCCACGGTTCTGGTGGCCCTGCCCCTGGAGGAGCTGCCCCTCGCCGAGCTTTATCCAAAATCTTTTTGGGTCGATCAGCTCGACCGGGATCCCGAGGGGAAGATCCACGCTCCCCTTCGGGGGGATCCACGGGTCGGGGGGAGATTCGAGAGCGGGGAACTCTACTGGATCTGGCTTTCCAAGGCCTGGTTCGTGCACGAAGCCGTGGGGCTGTTAATGCAGGAACAACACCAGGGAGCGAACGAAGAAAAGAAATCGGTGGAGGAAGAAGTGGCAGCAACGACAAGGTTAACATCAACAGCAACGGCAGCCGAAGGTGAGAAAGAGCATTGTCCCGAACGCGACAAACGCGGTGACGTCTTTGCGTGGATCGACATTGGCTCCTTTCGGCAATCGGAGAACGAAACTGAAACCACTCCAACCACAATTACCTCAAAAGCGAGACATAAGGTCTTAATTCGCCATCCCGAGGTGGTCCCGGACGACGAGGTCCTCTTTTGGTCCCATTCCCCGGCGCACAAAATCTCAAGCGGAAACGATAAGAACAAACAAAAGAAACACGACTACTCTCCTGTTCCCCCCAATCTCAGCCCGTATTCCGACGACAAGCTCTCTTCGAACGGCAGAAAACATTTTTTTCACGCAGGGGCCCACTTTGCGGGCCGGCCAGAATCCATCGAGAAGCTGTACTTCCGTTTCCTCGAGACGGTCGACGTCTTTGTCCATAGAAACATGTTGCTGGCCGACGACCAGGCAGTAATGCAATCGGCCTGCCTGGGTTACTTTGATGGGCAGGGGTATAACCGTCCTTCCGGAGGATCTGTAAATACCAGCGGCAACAACAACGGCAACCTATGTGCCTATGCTACCCGTGACATGGTCGATGGAAGGGGGGGGAGCAAGTGGTTCGGGTTGGCAGGGCTCCTTCAATATGGTCCGGCAAAGAAAGCCTACCGCTCCGACCGCAGCAAGCTGCTGGGTGCCTACTGGAGGCCACCATCCCGCGAGCACTATTCAGAGTATTCGGCATAAGGTAGCCAACGACGCAAAGCTATAACATTTATCCAAAACATACTATCCGGAGTAACCACCGCTTCTCAACAAACAACAAATCCACCGCAATCATTGATAACCAAATCTATGAGGCACAAACATACTATTATTTCTTTATTGATAGTGGTCAATCAGATCGGATCATATCTCATCATTTCGTTTCAGTTTTCTTCGTTAGACAGAAACCTCGTCGCTGCTGCTCATCGATCGGCTGCGGCCGCTGTTTTTCCGTTGTTGCCTGGCCTTCTTCTTGGCCTCTCGGAACCCGGCCGCTTCGATCTCGATGTGGATCTGATTCTGGCTCGGGTAGAACATGTTCGAGAACACCTTTCCTGAAATATCGACCGCCATGGCAAAGATTGGAATGATCAGCATCAGCACATAGTTCATCGAGCTCATCTCGAAGACGTGCGGGAAGACCCCCACCATCATGAACCACGAACCGGAGGTTACCCCGATGAAGACCCCGATCGCCTGCAGAAACAACAGCAGACAAAACGATTCGAAAATATTCAATCAAATCCAATGAAAGAACAAAAAAAACGCCCAATGGGGTAGGATGTGAGTGCCAATTCAACGTATTGCGTTTCCGAGGCTCGTCAGTCCCAAAAAAGCATGCGAACACGGCCCGGAAGCGAAAAGTACTCACCTCATAGCAGAGAAGACACACCGCGTAGGCGAGAAACGAACCAATCAAAATCCCGTACCAAGTGTAGGGAATTCGACTTGTGTATCCCTCATCAGTCTTACTACAACAGCCGAGAAAGGCTGGCCACTTGCCATTGATGATGGACCTCGATTCGAACATAACCTTGTAAGCCATCAGCAGCACCAAGGATGTAAATATGGTAGACCCCTGACTCTGCCAGTCGTCGACATTTCCGTCCCCCACGGTGCCCTCGTTCCACATGAGACCTCCGAAGGCCCCGGTTTTGCCGCCGCCATACATGGTCAGCTGAGGGAGCTGACCCCAGTACAGAATGGCAACGTGCACGAGGCACAAAATAAACCATCTCGAAACGGTACGTGGAGTGATAAGCTCATTTTCCTGCGTCGGCTTGTACACCTCGGGGTTCTGTTTGATGTATTCCTTGTCGAGATTTCTGTCAAACATTCCGATGCTCAGGATCGGGAAGAAGCACACAAAACTGTATCCGGCCATCATCCATTGATCGAAAATAGAGGTTCCACTGAACAAGGTATAGTTGTTATACAAAACTAGAAGACCAGAGATGGCAGCATTTTTGTAGAACGTATAGAGAACGACCATGGATGTGCGCAAAAAATCCCATCTACCGTGGTACAAAACGAGGTTTTCCAGGAATCGAAACTGTCCAATCGAAAAATCGGAAGCGTTGACGGCCTGCTGGCCTTCTTTGCCAGATATCCCGACTCCACAGTGGGCCGCGTGAATCATTCCAACGTCGTTGGCACCGTCCCCAATTGCTAGCGTGATGGGTTCGGGGACGACATGGTGCCGAACAAGCTTCACGAGCTGTGCTTTTTGGCGTGGCGTTACCCGGCAAGCAATGACCGAGGTGCACTGGCTTGCAATGTTGAACACAAGCTCTTCCAATTCGTCATCGTTTTGCAAGTGTTTTAATGCTGCTCCCTCGATCACCAATGCTCTGGGACCATCACCCGATGGTTCTATATTGGGGACGTCCGTACCCGCCAGGACCCTCTTCCGCTTCTGCTTGTGGAGATGCTTGACAAGCCGCCCCTTTCTGACATCACGATCAACCGCAAACATCCGTTCTAAAACGGTTCTCCTGCTCTTGTCGAAATCGCTCTTATTATTGCCGTCCTTCGACGGCATGAAACTCTTGATGGAAAGCACGTCGTCATCGATGATTGGTGCTTCTTGGTCCTCAGCTTCCTCCTGGGCACCAAGTTGTGACAATTTCGAGGCTCTTTTGTCAACTTCGCTGAGTTTCCCAAGGCTGCGTTGCGATTCCAGAACTTCTTGTGCCGACTGTGCACGATCGAACACAGACGGCACCGCATCCGACGACAACTTTGTGTTGTCGGTGTTGGGGTATCGTCGCATGTAATCCTTTAAGATAGCCTCGGCGCGATTGCGAACGTTGCGTCGCCTAACGATATCGATCAACTTATCCTTTTCTTCTTGCTTCGCTTCCTGAAGGCTTTCCAATCTGTCTATTTGGGCTTTTTTCTTGAATCCTAGCAAGCCACGAATCATAATGTTGATCTTCAACACAAAGCGCTTCCGATTGAGGGAGCAAAGAGTCAGGATCTTTCCGATAAAAGAAAAAAGAAAGCTCCAAGGCATTTTCTTCTCCTTTTTGTCAACAGCCGATCTTTGGTACAGGGGAAGTTTGCCGGCCTTCACGAGTCGCATGAACTCCATGGCGCATTGTGCACGGACAAAGTCTTCGCCTCGATCTGCCATTTCTGTCACATGCATTTTCGGAGTGAGAACCTTTGTAGAATAACCGATCTCAATCGCTGTTTCTCTCTTATCTCCAGTCAGCACCCAGAGCTTGATCCCGGCCTTTTCGAGGGTGGCAATAGTGTCCGGTACACCGACTTGCAATTTGTCTTCGATCGCAGTTGCGCCAACAATATGCAAATCCCTTTCAATTTCTAAGGCAGCTTTCGTCAGTTTCGCTTTTCTATCTTTCAGAGCTGTGGCAGCCGCTGTAAATTGGTCGAGCCACATATCGCATTCATTATCAGTAAGGAATCGTACCCCTAAAACCAGCGTGCGCAAACCCTCCGACGCAAATTCCCCAAGATGGGTCTCAAGGCCGAGCTCCCTCGCCATCGCCCATTCTGAGTCATCCGAACCCGAACCTGACTGGTTTAGTGTTGCAGCAGAAATGTCTGGATCGAGCATCGCTGAATCCGCTCCCTTGCACAAAAGAATAGCGCAACTGCCGAATTCTGGTGGCGATCGAAGGAGAATGGACATTCGCTTTCGAGTAGAATCAAACTTGTTAATTGCGAGAACGCCCCACGTTTCAATATTGTCTTTTCCAGAGGCAATAGCGGTTCGGTGAAAAGAACGTTTTCCGCTCGCGCTGCCGGTAGCAACGGCGCTTGGGTCAATTTGCCCGCTTTTTAGCCCCCGAATCAGCCCTTCGTCGTAAAATAGCGATGGATGGTCACACTTCAGTCGAATGCCCGTAGAATCTCTGCTGATAAGTTGAAATCCAAACGCCTTCGACGCTTCGGACACGAGTGCTCCTTCGTCAGGACTCTCGGCTTGGTAAGCAAAGCCAGGAGGTGCACCATCGGGTGCCTTTGTCGGCGAATTTTCTTCCTTTGCAACATCTTTGCTCACCCCTTCTTGTTTTGGCAAATCAAGGTCTTTTTCTACAACAACTGTGTGGCACAATGACATTACTCTAAGGAACATTTCGGCGTTGAATGTCATCCCCTTCGTTTTTCCGAGATGCTTTCCGTCGGAAGCTGTATGGACTTGCCCAACAACAACCTGCCGGGCAGGAAGATACTCCGATGTAGGCTTATCGCTTTCATCACCCTTTGGAATCGCCTTTGCGACCGGCTTTCCGAAGATCATACCATCGACGGAACAACGTTTGAAACGCATCACATTTTGAGTCAGCGTCCCCGTTTTGTCCGAGAACACGTACTGAATCCGTCCTAAATCTGTATAAGTGACACTTCGGGGCTCCGCCCGTGTATCGGTGGTTCCGTCGTAGATTTCCGGGTCAACATAAATCAACCACATCAAGAAGAAGTTACATACTTCTAAGGTGAAGTACATACTGAGTGGAACAAAGTAACTTAACAATGTAACATTCGTCAGGGCGTATTGGAACCAGTTTTGGCCTGTGATAGATCAAAGAAGTAAACGTAAACAATCGAAATCAAAATTGCTAAGGCAACATATCCTGAAGGCTTTATTTCGAAGACTTCCAAGAAAACTAAACTCTACTACTAACCTTTGGTTGCCCAATCTGGTGCCTGCAAATCTGGAAGATAAGGCCATGTGTTATTAGTTTCGCTTTCGACTTTGCGACCGACATACCTGTGGAAATATACGCAGCATCAATCGAACGGAGAAATAGATTAGTTGATTATCTAGCAAAATGCGTGGCACACAACATTCCAAGTAATAGAAAACAACTATTTCTTCGCCTGAAAGCAAAAAAGATCACAGAACACATTGTGAGCACTAAGCGACGGCACATAGAGAACGCACCAGAGTGTATCGATTTGGTTCTCGTTGACCAGTACCGCCATTGTGCTGAGATAGGAAATGCAGATAAGTTCCACCAGGATCATGACCAGCACGCACTTGTTGGTAATCAGGTCTAGCTGGCTCATCTTCGACGGCGTCTCGATGGTATTCTGACTGAGCTTGGTATCCGTTCCAGTAAAGCAGGTGATCCCAATGGCCCACTCCGTGTTTCGCAGGACGGCCCCGCGTAGCAAGAGGTGTTCGGCCCCTAATGGGAGCTCGCGCTTGACAGATCCGGCGCCGGCCAACGGAGGGTTTTCAGGGTCCTCCTCGTCAATGGTCGTGAGCAAGCTCGGAAACTTGAGAACGCCCGCAAAGGTATTGATGTGTGCGTTGGGCGCCTCGGTGATCAACTCAGCGATGCGATCGCTGCTTTCTCCAGATTGGCATCCCGCAGCCGTGAATCCCGCGATCCGCTGGACGGCCTCGTTGATTGTCTCGAGAGGCTTCGAATAACTTGGGTCCGTCTTGTGCTTGGCCGATACCCGCAGCTTGAGGTTGGTCTCACCGTCGATTGAGGACGTCTCGATGTAAGCGCATCCGCGGTCGCCGCTGGAGGCCACCAAAACCATATCGGCGGGGATCATCTCCCGGTTCCGAACCACCACCAGGTGTCCTTGCCGGATGTCCTTGCGGTGGATCGGCCGAAAGATGGCCTCCGTGTGCATACCCCCGACGGCCGGAATGTCCACGCTGGGCCAGGGGATGTCGTCCAATGCGGAATTTTCCGCCCTAGCAGATGCCTGCCTGTTTTTCTTGCTCACGTTGATCATGCTTCGGTTCATAGCGTCTCTGACCGATTCTGACACCGGTTTCGTGTCGGCGGTTTCGTTCTCCAGGACAATGCACCGATCTGTGTTGGTTTTATGGTCGCTCACGTGGCGTTTCTTGTCGGCAATGCCCTCCATTACGATACTGATCGAGACAAACAGCATGAGGGGTCCCCACGTGGTGTACGGCGAAAAGGCGGACGCATACAGCTGCGGATACCTAGTTCCCACAAACATAACGAGTCCCACCACCAGAAAGTACATGTTGGCGAACCTACGGAACTGGTTTCGGATGTTCTGTGTTTTTTTAGTACAAGAACGATGGGGAATACAAGAAAGAAAAATAGGAGACAATTAGTGTTGAAAAATAGAGAATGGAGGCGGCGATCGAATCTGGCCGCGTGGTTGCTTGTCTGTTTTGTTGCTTATTGATTTGACTGGTTTGGGCCCGATTCACCATTGCCGAAGAATCCATTACGGTAGCGAACATTGGTTTCTTGTGGTGCTTTCGTATCCCTCTTCACGTTTCCCACATCAAAACAAAACGACAAACCGCTTGTTACTCAGCTATTCTTGAGGCGTGATGAGATGAAGACGTATGCGTGGATGATAACCMACTGATAGTTTTGCGGCATCGGTTCTTTTCGAGCAAAAGAAAATGAACATGAAATCAAAACAGAAGAGAATCCATGTTGTCCTTTCTGACTATCCAATAATCAAAGGTATGTCATCTCGTGTTTCTTTCTCGTTCCCGCCCTTCGTTCAGTTTGACTCCTATCGACTTGACGATCTTCTGTCGTTTCAATTCATACAGTTCCGATAGGGCACGTCTGTCGATCAACCCATTAGCACGTTGCTTTCAATTGCCCTTTGTTCATCTATTCGTCGTCGGTAACAGACGTTTCAAATAAATCACCCAGCAGTTTTCTGTGACGTCCGATCAAGAGATAAGGCAGTCCATTCCGATAGGATTGTATTCCGGGTGTTTCCAAACAACACTTTGTTCATGATCAAACAGGCTCGATGTCATATCAAACGAATGAAATCGCAACAAACAGCAAACAAAAAATGCTGTGCAGCATTGCGTGAGATACTCACTTTCGGGAGAAAATTGAGAATAGTGTACTTGGAGGTGATCAGGGTGTTGTCGCACCGGGTGTGATCGGGCACTCCCGCTAGGAGGCTCCGTTCGCTTCCATCTTCTTCCTTGACCTTGACGATGTGGCTGGACCTGCGCCGGTTGGATTCAGACGAAGGGGATGGCATGGTTGCGTTTTGTTTTGTGCGAGCAATGCGACCCAACGCAATATAATACAATCGAGTCAAAAAACGAATCAATGAATCGATCCGTCGGCAATCCACAATCGGCCAATCCACCGATTTTTCTCTTGTCTTATCTTGTGTCCTCTTGCAATATGTTGCCGGCTCTAGCTGTGGACAACGCAAGGCTCGTCCTTTCACTGTCGCGAAACGATTTGCTGGAAAAATGAATCAATCGGCGGGAGTAAAAATCATTATTCACAAGCTAGTAACGAACATCCTGCAAGTACGAGTACGAAACGAGGATAGTACAAATCATGGTACATGCTACCAGTACAACTAATGCTTCGGGTACGTGTAAATGTACCGTTCTTTCGCTTCGAATCTACTTCTAGTGGAACTAAGGTGCAAACAGTAGGAAGAGAATGTCTGCGGTACCGTACGGTAGATATCTACGGTACGGCAGATCTGCTCGTAATGCGGAGGCACGTGTGCGTCGCCGTTCGATATGTATGAGTATTTGAACGATCGTTCTTGCATACCGTTCCGTAACGCGCCGTACGTTCAAATACTCATACATATTTGAACGTACCGTACGGCGCTTTACAGAACGGTATGCAAGAACGAGGATGTTCGATCTTTGAAGTATTGGCGGGATGTCGGTCATGCTCCTTTCCGATGCTGAACTGCTCGTAACGGTTGTACGCACTGTACTGTCCGTCTCATAGCGACGAACAGCTATCCGAAAGGCATGCCCGACGCCATCCATGTGCAAGGAGGATCTTTCGAGGGGATGATACAAAGTACAAGTACTACCCCTACTAGTACAAGTACCAAGTACCGTACGATCAGAACCAAGAATTTTTTGTTGATCGACCAAGTACAAGAAGTTGTGTATTTCGTATTTCGTACTACTACTTTTCAATGATATTTTTTTATTTTTTTGTATTGCGCTGAGGAAAGTTAAAATTAGACTACAGTTCAGAAAAGAAGAAACAAAAATTTCCCAAACACCCCTCCAGTTGCTCATCGCATCGCTCTGCCATCTTCAGAGCTTTCTGGGATCTCCCAGTTGCATCGATAGAAGTACATCAGTACATACTACTTCTGGTGGTACGATATCCCTCAGTAATATTGATGTGCATGGGCATTTGAAGCAATAGATAGCCTTAATTTCCCACAAGTTCTTCCCTAGACACAGTTCCTTCCCTAGACGCTTTCTACATCATGAACCATGCTAGTACGAAGTACTTGTGATTACTGAAAAACACTACCGGTAGAGCACTAGCTTTGTCATGTTGTGCGGGACGACTTCTTGCCCTACAGAAATTTGCGCCATCCGTGAGAGTCGGCGTCGGGCATGGCCCATCACTGCATCAGATCCACCTCAGGAATCCAGCTTGCTAGATGGCTACGCATCTCCAATCTAGAAACGAAACCGGCTGAAGACATTCCACATTGTATTTTGGTTATTGCTATTCGAATTAACTCTCTTTCCAGCAGCAACCATCGGAAGCAATACTGCAAGCACAGCCGGGTTTTTCCAGGTCCAGCTTTGAACCGTACGCAGAAGTTTGCCACAATCTGGCACCGGTTATCTATTCTGATTCTATTTCTTTCCAGCAACAATCATTTCAAGCAATACTGCAAGCACGGCTCAGGCTCAGCTTTCGTGCCCAACCCCGACTTCAAACCGTACGCAGATCTTTGTCATCGCACGGCACTTCACACGGCATGAAATTTATTCGCTTTCATTCTAAATTTCTTTCCTGCACCTATCGTTAGAAGCAAGAACGCAACCGCGGAACCGTGTGCAGATGCTTGTCGTCGCAGAGTGCTATTTCGCCCTCTGGTCGCTCGCTTGGACGCAATAATTGGCAGTGTCGTCGCCGTCGTGGTCCCCTGGAGCAACCATCGACGGCGGCAGAAAGAAATTCCTCCCCCGCGATTGCTTCAGCAGGAAACAGAGGCATCCCGGCGGGTGCTGAAGGTGCGGTTCCCTGGGATCTGGGTGGGTGCCGCGGTTGTCTCCTGCGGGTCCTTTCCCGCCACCGCCGCGCGGAACTTCCGTGTTCCGGGAATGCCAAGCGCCACCGTCGCGGGGGCGGTCGGCTCCTCCCGCTGCAGCCGCCGGCGGTGGCTCCGGTTCCTCGCCGCTCTTTGTCAGGGCCAGGACGGTCTCGTCGGAGAGCCGCTGGTGCTGGTCCCGCATCCACTTGCGCCGGCCCACACGCTGCCGCGTGCGCGTTCGGGGCGCCATGCCGGGCTCTGCGACGGGTTTCTGGGCTCCGACGAGCTGTGCTGTGCAATGCAATGCCTCGCAACAAATAAAATCCTTGATTCGTTCGTGACCGAAAGAGTATTTTTTCACTGCTTATTGGAGCTTGTCCTTGTGCTGCTTCCCCCGTCGATGCTGCTGTTCCGCTTCCGTTTCGGTGGTTCCGTCGGCGACGAATTCCAGTCCCGCCTGCTCCTCTTCGTGCTGGCGCCGGATCAGTAGCTGCTTGTGGGCGGCGCTGAGCTTGAGGACCGAGAAACAGGAGACGAGTGCCGCCAGCCTCGTGTAGGGGGGGAGGGGGTCCGCGACAAAGAGGACCGCCGAAACCACCAGGGTAGCTTTTGCGATTGACTCGAAGCTCGCCGCGGCGCGATCCCGGATGCCGGAAAGCGTCAAAGACAGCGAGGCACCGGTGGCGGTGTCCGGCGTTGGAAGGGATGGTTCTGGTTCCGTGTCGCGTGGCTTGCCGGATGATTCTGCTGCGCCGGCCATGGGTGGTCCGATCGATTCGATTCGATTCGCTTTGTTCCGGTTCGTGCTTTCACAACACAGCGATGGATGACGATGGGTGAAAATAAGCTACCCGAGGCGACCGCAGGTTCCCTCTGCTTGTGGTTATGGCCTTATCCACGAAGCCGAAGTTCTCTTGCTGGAGTACACGATACCGTACCGTACGTTGATTTTTGATCTGCTACAAAATACGAGTAGTATGTTGAGATGAGCAGGTTGTCATTCGGTTCTCGTGCTGGTTGGATGGAAAACAGTGGGAACAGATATGGCCTTCTGGCAATGCGCGCGAATGCGCGAATCGTTTGGACCCGGAAAAATTCGACGGTTTATGTATCATATGTATCATATATAATATATCGTAGTACTAGTTAGTATTCCTCCCTCAACCCTCCAGATGTTCTCCCCAACTAGGATTCGCCCGGCCCCTGAGTGGTCGAATGAGTCGATTGAAGGGAGGGGCGCTGGCCGGCCGCCTGCGTGAAACATCCGATTATGTGCATGTTCTTCGTCGCCAAGAAACAGAGTTTTTGGTCGCGCAGATAGACGCTGTATCGGTACATAGATTCTTCCGTCTCGCCACTTGTGGTTTCGGACCTATGTAACCAAGGGGAACCCACATGATTGGAAGGATGGGAAACAGCCCCTGCCGACGATACTATCGATCGATAGCAAGTCACCGATCTTTTTGATCCCCCACCTCCTTTGCCGATTTGGTCTGTTGCCCGGATAGCAATTACGCAACGCACCAGACGACCGTAGTTACCCAAAAGCTGCGAAACGTTGGACGGATTTTCCGGTCGACGAAACACGGTTGTTAGGGGCAAGGATGCACGCGACCCCGAATCCCCACCGTGCCACACCGTGCGTCCGGCCCGCTGTATCGCAACCAAAGCGGATCGGGTAGAGAGATTTGTTCGCAGATTGTTCGCCTCGTGCTTGCCCGTTGCTGTCGAAAGATCGGACAAAGAACGAATCGATGAACATACGGATCGATGCGAAGCAGATGCAAAAACGGAGGAGAACGAACAAACGAACGGAAAACAGGAAAGAACCATTCATCGCAATCGGGGACGCCACTTCAAGGTTATATAAACACAAACACACCCATCCATCCAATATATTTCCCTTCGACCCATATAAGGTCATCGAATGAGGACAGATTAAATCACTCTTTGATTGCAACAACGAGCGTCTACTCGTCCATTTAAAAAAGAATCGCTTGGCACACCGAGTTGGACATCAAGCCAACGAGAACGCAGGGAGACCAAGCAAACAAACCAACAAGGAGAGAACGCAAGGCGCAGAAAGGCAAGCACGCACACACGCAAGCACACACAGCATGCCCAGGTTCCAGTTCCGAGCCCAAAAGCCCGGAGCGGCAGTGGCCCAGCGAGCCCACGACGACGGATCGACGCACTCGGTCCACTCGAAGAGCAAGAGCAAGACTCCGAGGGCTTCGAAAAGGACCAAGGACAACCCGCGGAACCTCGTTGACGACTATCGGTCGTTCCGAAAGAAGGAGCGGGAGGAGCAAAAAACCAAGACGAACAAAAACAAGACCAGCGACACCGCCAATAATAGCAGCGAGACAGGCGACAACGGTGACTTTCCCTCCGTCAACCGGCTTGGGGAGGCCGCTCCGTCTTGGGTGTTGTCGCCCCCCGAGGCGGTTTGCTCGCCGTCCAACAGCTTTAGCGTCAGCAAGTACCGGGATCTGCTGGTGCCCTCCTTATCTGAGGACGACGAAGCAGAGCAAGAGCTAGATCTACATGGGGGCGAGCCGTCGCCGTCGCCCTCTCTCTACCCCGACCCAAGCATCGACATGGATGGCATCATGAACGAAAGCGATTCATCCAACCACCACGAGAGCAAAAGTATGGCCAGCCCCAACCACGGCTTGCACCTGCGACTCTTTGACAACGACGACGACATTGACGACGAGGGCGAAAACTACGAGCCCACTCTCAGCTGCGAAACCGGGGCTTCCACCACCATCGAATGGATCACGGAGATCGACTACCAGCCACGCTCCGGTGGAATCCAGAAACCCAGCACGACCATAATACGATCCGAAAAGGACAAGAAGAACGATTCCGAACCCTCCTGCAAACCAGAAGGAAAGGAAGCCGAGCCGACACCGACCATGTCGACGGCAGAAGCCACGACTTCCGACGACGAGAACAAGCCGGCGGAGGGATCTAAATGGGACGGCGCTTACTCCCCCTCGTTCTTTGCACGCTTTGCCAACGCCCTATTTGGGTGCGATGACAACGACGACACCGACGGCAGATTCTCGATGAAGTGTGGGGGGGACCACCGGGAACCCAACACGGTGGAGGCAAAACTCAAGGCGTTCACGATGCCAAGCCCGCGAAAAAGCGCAAAATCAGAGATTGGCTCTCCTAGACGCGATTCCGGGCCAGGCCCCAGCGAAACGTCCCTCGCGGGGGAGGAAAGCAGCGAATACCAGTCCTGCACGGAGACCGAATATACAACTACCGAATACACGTCCGTGGGTGTGACCACGCTGGGGGACACCACCGAGACCTCCAACTACCCCGGATCACTCTCGATCACCACGAGGGAGGGGGACGGGGCACGCACCGTTGGCTATGAGGGGGACGACAACGCCACCTTTCCTACCTACCAGCGCGGCTTTAGTGCCACGGGAGAGACCCAGAGTGAGCCCCGCAACGGTGAGGTCCTGGAGTTCGAAAGCGACCCGTACCACGAGGACGAAACACTGACCACCTACGGCGAGGCCATGGGGGTTTCCACTCTGGAAGACACCACTACCTTTACGCTCGGCGACACCACCACCTTTACCTTTAACGACTACGACGACGACGACGACGAGCAGCGGGAGGACTACGATACCACCAACGAAGATAGTAGCTACGGATCCAACTCCTTCCGGTCCCCCCTAACGGATTCCTACCAGACCGCCAGCTCCCGTTTCTTTGGGGACAGCCAGAGCCGATCCTTCTCGCTGCGGTCMATGCCCCGGTTCCGGGAGCACTTTCCCGACACCCGTGGAAACGGCGACCGGGATGGGGCCCAGGGCAGCGTGGTCGGAAACCAGATCGCCTTTGTCAGCCACCACCACGAGGAGCAGAAGCAGCCCCTTGCCATGGGGGAGAGCCGGTCCGTGTCGACGAGGTCCCCGTCGAGCCTGCGGGAGTCGTTGATGAGCTCCGGCTTTCGCAACGAAAACGACGTCATCGTGGGCATCATGGCCATTGCGGAGGACGACGACAACAAAACGGGGGAGGACTCGAAGGATTCCCTCTCCTACACAAAGAGCGAGAATCGGAACCGGCTCATCAACTCCTTCATCTTGCTGAACGAGAACGAGGAAGCCCCACAGAGCGAGCTGGAAACCAGCCAAACAACGCGGTCCCGGGCACGGCTCCGGACCTTTGGCAAGAAGGGGAAGACGAAAACGGCCATCGACAGGGACATGGCGGTCGGGTCCGAGTGCAGCAGCTGTGCGGAAGACGGGGAGAAAGAGGGGTGCAAGGAAAACGAGGAGCCCACCAAAAAGACCCTCGCAAGGAAGCCAGGCGAAAAGGGACCCAAGAGTCCATCAGAAGCGGACGTCTCGTCCAAGGCGGTCCGGATCACCGTCCTGAAGACCGTCAAGAAGGCGGACGTAGATGGCAGCCGCAGCCAGGGAAGCTACCGGACCCGGTCCTCTGCCTTTCAGAGCATCGTGTACGGCCGGGAAAGCACCAGCAGCGGCAAGGCCAGGGACGAGCCGCGGGACGAACCGGAGGAACCAAAGGACAGCCACCACCAACGCAAGGCCAATCACAAGGTCCTCCACCGGAGCAACGGGCCCTTTCTCAGGGTGGACACGGCCACGGTGCCAGTGAGCACCCCGGAAAAGGTCCCGGTGGTCTCCCCCGGCGGTTCGATGGCGAGCAGCATGCACACCACCAGCCACCCCAAGTGTCAGGGGCCCTCTTCGGAGCTCCTCCTGAGCGGTAACCTTTCGCCCATGGCGAGGCTCCGGAACCCCGTTTCGTACGACGTCCTTTCGCACGATTAGGCAAGCATTCGGAATCTGATCTAATTGCACTGCATCGCATTCGAATCAAAACGGATTTGAGTAAATTCGAATCAAACCAACCCTTCAATTCAATAGAATACCAACATCAATTCCAGTGCCATTCCCATTTTCGCATCGTGGCGAGAAGCGAACGAATGAATCGATCGCTCGGAATGAAGTTTCCACCAGCGACAGCGACCAAAACATTGCTTGCGGGGTGGTTGAGTTGCGTCGCGTTTCGCTCCCCGCGTTATGCCGTCTCGTGTCCTTCCGATCGAATGAAGCCATCCCCTGGGAGGTCTTGTTCCGAGGGCAAAACCTTCGATCGGAGAACACGAAAGACGGCAGCACGGCAAAGCCTCGAATCAAATCGAGCGCGGCGATTCGCTTATATTTTGTATGTGACACAGTATTTTTGTGTCGTCCATTTGAACCCCAAGTAGTTTATAGTTTAATTCATTAGTACGCATAGAACTTTACAAGTGAACCGCAAAGTTATGTTACGATAGATATACGGTATGGTGCGATACTACCGTTTGTTGTTTCTTCGTTTGATAGATTTGCAGAATTCTATGCCATTGGCGAAGGCGGCAATTTTTCCTTCGCGGAAATTGTGGACTGGTGGATGTGAAATGTCAATAGGCTCCTTAGTGTACGTGAATACGTGGTTTACAATAAAGAGTGAGGTTATTCACTATCTACTCGTGATTAGTGAGGAACCTTAAGATTGTATGACCATGTCGACCATTTTCTCATTAGAACGCCAGAAGCTTCAAGTGGTTTAATCGCCCTTTTTGTTGAACTAGTAGTAGGGACTTCTGATGACATGAACGACTACTGGTTATACAGCCATTTCTAATTTGAAGATCAGAAGCTTCAAGTGGTAGGGTATGCATCGAAGGCTTGGGTGTACTAATGTTTCTAGTGAAAGTCTCTGACCGGTTCATACTACTACTAGGTTACTGGCTACTTTGCACAAGTCAGCGGTGGTAGTGCAGTCCTTCCTAGCCAAAACTCGACCACTTTCTCATGAGAAGTGGTATGTTTTGATTTTTTGGTGGATTTATGGCAATTTTCTGACGAAAAAACAATCAGTACTATACAACCATTCCTACCGGTATTGTTTTGAAAACACATTTACACGTACCGTATGGTATGTACGTACGATAAGTACTAAGAAACTTGTTGTTGATCATTCGAACTAACCCAGTCGTGAAAAGACTCACTCGAGCTTTGGGCTGATGAATGTCCAGTGTTTTAAATTGTCGCGCGATGCGCGCGGTCAATGCTCTGTCGGTCAACTCATTAAAAATTACTCGTACTACTACTACCGTAGTAATAAATCAGCAAGCAAGCAGCAGTGTGGTCAAGGCGGTCGAACCACTCGTAGGGGCTGTAGCGCACAGTACTATCGCAGCCCAGCCGTCAACAACGACAACAAACAAACATCCTTCGAGCCCAACAACAAAGCATCGTACGTCGCACCGTACCGTAGCTTGAACCGAACGTACCCAAGCTAAACATCACCCTTCTAGTGGTCGTTTTGGAAGACGTATCTGTTGCCGAGAAGACAAGACGAGACAAGCTTACTCCCAAGTGAAGGCATTAGAAAGGAACAAAAGAAAATAAAACAAACAACGAAACCATGTCTCCTCCCAGCGCCAATCCAACGACGGGGAAGACCCACGTCGCCGAAAAAACGAAACTCCACGAAGGTGGAAGCTTGAAGCCGTATTCCCACGAAGAATTGGGGACCTCCGACGATGTACGTTCTTTGATTGATAGGCTGGTGGAATCGTCGATTGGCGAATCGCCTTGCGTTTCGTTGTTGTTTCGGGCCGCTGGCGTCGACGCCGATGCCGTGTCTACAGGGATGCCGATGCGTCCAACCAAAAAGTGCTCGTGCGGGTTCACCACGCTGCACCGTTGCAAACCACGGAGCGGGGTGCCCTTCTGTTCGTCTTGCTGCCACCGACGTTGGAACAGACGCAAGGGTTAGATTCCCTTCTGCAACGAGTTTGTTGTTTTTTGTCTCGTTCGATCGCTTGGAACATGTCTCACTTTCTGATGTGTTTGTTTTGATGTTCCTTTCTCGATCCTTCCGAATGTGTTCGATGAACCAAAACAAATCGCCCAACAAAACTGCACGGCACCGCCTTTTTTTATTGCCTTGGACAACACGAAATGTGTCGCACCGACCGCGGTTGCATTGCTGTGTTCACTCTTGCATTGAATTCCATTTCATGCCATTCCATCTGCTTTGGTTGTTCCCTTTTTTCCTCCTCACGACGGATTTTTGCATTTGGTGGCTGCGAATCAATCGTTTGGCTTTTGAATGGCAAACCTGCTTGTTTCCCTCGCCGTCTTGGGTTCCCAACAGATCGGACGGGCCAAGGATCCCGTCAAGTACCTCCTGTCGACGGAGCAGCGGGCCCGGGAACGGCAGGTGGCCTACGAAACCGTCCGGTTGCTCCGGGAGGACGTCATCGAGTGCTACCGCTCCTCGGGCGTCAATCACTACACGGACTGCAAGGAGATCAACCAGAAATACTTTGATCTGGTGACCAAGAAGGACATGGGCCAGCTCCACCCCAACTGGAAGAACCCGGAGAAGCACGACGGCTGGTAAGCGGGGACGATGGCGGCATGGCCGGGCGTGCTGTGTTGTGCCGCGGACCGGAACGAAACCACACCAGCGGCTCGATCCACAAACCACTCGTCGTTCGCGGATGGAACGGATTGGCGTCCGGGATTCCCCCCACCGAAAGAAAACAAACGCATTTTGCGGGTGCGATGTCCCCCTTTGCTCGTTAGATAGTGGAAAAGGCGGATCGAAAAAAATAGTATTGATGCAAAATAACCATAATAGAAAACAAACCTAAGAATACCACCCGTATCGAATATCTGAACGACACAGAAACGATTTCAGCCGAGCCAAATTAGATGTTCGAGCCGCTAATGCCGCAAATCCACCAAAATCATGGTGCTGCAAACAATCCAGCGATTGGTTGCAAAGAGCGAGCCCACTAGGAGTCGGAACATTCGCCTGCGACAACATGCAGAGATAGTTTCCTGATCGACCATACAGCTTCGCCCCGGGAATCAAAATGCACTATTCCGGATCGATTTCCGAAGACAGTGTTCGACAAAGATTCGTTCTTTCCTACCAAGGAAATCCAGCAGATGATGGGACGATTCGTTTTTCTAGCACAAAAACAACGCTCACAGCCAAAAAAAGAAGAGAGTAATAGGGAAGGAAAAAAGGTGGTTCGCAGCTGCCACCAAAACATTCGTTTTACGTTGCTACAAGTAGTAGCAGAAGGATTCTGATTCTTCTTTGTTGGACTAGTAGTAGTTACAACATCTGCCCATGACTAGTACTACTGGTATTATTATTGCATAGTACTACCAAAAAAATAGAAATGAAGTAACGAATTCAGTGCATTCTTTTTCTTGTTGTTGCTGCTGTTGGTATTGTCTGTCCCACTACTACTGCTGGTGCTTTTTCTCGCCTCTTCCACTTGTTGTTCTTGTTGTTTGTTGTGTACCACCACGACACCACCAGCAGCAGCAGCAATGATGATTGCTGTATTACATTGAACAACAGTCTTATAACAGCATCCAATATTTATTGTTGTTGATGACTGGTGGGCAGGAACAACGAAAAACATACAATATCGATAAACTTTGCCTTTGGAATACCTCTACTACTACTACTAGTGTGCTACTAGCATATCTTGCAGGATTCACAATTCACAAACGTCACGTACAAAAACTTTTCAAGTGCTCTGTCCGGGACCAGAATTCATGCGGGACTCCTTTGCCATCACCAAACCAAAGAATCTCCGAATTCGAACCAGCGTCTGCGAGGGTTGTTGGTGTTGCCCACGAATACTCGTACTCGTTCTGTTACCGGTTCGTACGTGATCAATCATCGTTCACTTCTTTTGCATCGACGGCAACAGAAAAGCCTTTTGGAACAAACAAACACAAAACTCTGGTTGTTTCCGGCAATCCTTCCTTGTCGCCAAACCGAAACACCGCAATTATCACGAATCGCCACTGGGCAATCCATTCCGGAACGGGGGCAAAAGAGGAAGCGGTGTTACTTGGCTAAGGACGGGAACAACCATGCGCGTCCCGGTTCCAAAGCGCAACCCGCAGCCGGGAACAGATCGATCCGGGCTTCCGGCGGCAGCTACGGCGGCACGAATGGCGGTGGCGGTGTCCCTTCTGTTCTTTTCGGGTCGTTCGGGCCTCTGCCGCGCCTTTGTTGCCGAGACGATTCCGCGCGTGCCGCCACAACAGCCATCGGCAAGAACACGAACAACAGCAACAACAGCAGCAGCAACAACAGCAACAACAATGCTTAGGAGGGGCACCGCAGTTGTTCATCGACGAGGGCATTCGTCATTCCAACCCAGGGTCATTCTGTCGGCATCCACACACACTACCAAGAGATCACCGCTGCGAGCTCCAGGGCTACACGCTCACAGTGACGACGGTTCTTTCCTGGACGGTCCTCCATCGTCGGAACCAACACCACAATCACCATCGTCGTCGTCGTCTTCGCTTTCAGAGATCCAAAGACCGACCGCCGCGGAATTCTTTGCCTTCGCGGGGGTGGACATCGATCCCTCCACCTTTTGCTTCGAGCGGTGGGGAGGCGGGGGCAACGTAAAGCGCGAAACGGAAGGAGGCGGCAGCGGGGACCGCCGTCCGCCTCCCCCCATGGTGTACTCCGCCGTGGGTTTCCCGGGGGGAGCCACCGGCAAGGCTGCGGCGAGGCTTCGGATCTGCTGGACGACGATGGCTCCGCCGACCGCCGGCGAAGAACCCGAGGCCCGCGGAGGCCCGGACGATGCCATCGCACGAGCCCTGCTGGCCTTCGAGGAACACCCCATCGAGCGCTGCTGGCTGGAATCGGAAAGGACCGGTGGGCGCATCGTCCCGAAGACCATCCGGTCCCCGGGGGACCTGGCCGAGCACTTCTCCGCGTCGGTAGATCGCGCTTGCGGTGGCGGCCGCCCGGCGGTCGGGAGCGAAAGGGTGCTGGTCCCGTACCGACAGAGCAACGACGCCACCAACGCCAACGCCGCTGCCGACCACCACGATTGGTGTTGCGTCGATCCGGGAGCCATCGACCCGTCGTCTCTCCGAACCCGGTCGTTTTACCAGTGGGACGGCTCGGTGGTCGATTTTTTCTCCGCCGTTCGTTCGAGGGGAGACAGAAGCGACGGCGGCGGCGAAGAGACGGCAACGATCTGGTGGAGAACCGTTTCCCCCGAATCTGCTGCGGTGGCGGCTGCTGCTGCTGCTGATGATGATGATGATGATGATGATGCCGTGGATGCGTTCGACGATCCCTTTGGAACGAGGACCAGCGAGTTTCGGTCCGCCTGCAGCGATCCGTATAGCGGGGTGGTGTCCTTCTTTGCAACGGACGAAGTGTTTTCGGAGTTTCGCCGGTTTTCCGGGGGCGAGCGAACGAACAGTGCCACCGCTGCCTCGGTTCTTAGAGACGCCGCGATGCGCGGCCGGTCCCTTGCGAACGCGATTCGGGAGCGTTCCTCGGGAGAGGGCTGGGCCTTTGTGTTTCGGCGGGGACCCGGGGATGCGGTTAGCCACACCACAGAACAGAGGCCGCTGCGGCCGTCGAGTCCTGTCCGCGGCAGTGGTAGTATCGGAAGATTTCTGGTCGGAGCGGCTGTCCTCGCCGGCTCCGTTTGTGCGCTGGCCTTGCTCTTCTCCGGAATCGGCGGGGCCCTGCCGGGAAACACAAGGTGTGTGGGAACGAGCGCACTCCGGGGGTTTGCCTACGGAGGGATGGTGGGCCTCGCCAGTCACTCGGGAGCCTACCTCCGCTCCCTGGCAGTGGCCCTCTGTGCCACGGCCCTGCTCTCGGCAGCGGTCCAAAGACTCTCGGACCACCGCCGCCGGGGCAGCGACAACGGCGCGTCCGTGCTCCTCCCGATCGACAGCGCCTGGGTCGACTACGGGACCACGCTGTCCGTTGGGCTATCCGCGGTGACCGAAATGATGCTAGCGGCACCGGACTACGCCCTTCTGCTCTTGGCCAAGGTCCCTGTGGTGGATTTCCTGGACGCTCTGTCGGTGGCAGTGGCCCGGGTGGCAGACCAACGACCCTTCCGGAGCCGCCGGAAGGACCACCACCGGCAGCCGCAGCCACTAGTCCCGCGAAAGCCACCGGGGCGAAGAATCAAATACCTTGCCGATCGGATCGCGGCGTGGGCCCTCCCGGAAGCGTCCGTCTTTTCTCCGGAAGACGTACCACCAACACCAACACCGTCCTCCCCCGAAACAGCCGTCGCCCGCAATCGCCATCGCTTCGCCGCGGCGAAGAGGGTTTTCTCGGGCGTCCTCGTGGCACCGATCCGGGAGGAGCTCGTCTTTCGGTTTGCCTTCGACAGGGTCTGGCACGCGGTGGCGTCGAAGGGGGCTGGAGTGGCCACCGATTCGTCGCTGCCGCTTTCCCCGTGGGTCCTGGCCAACAGCCTGCTGTTCGGGGGGATGCACGCGTCCTCCTGGCTCCCGGTCCGCAGGGAGCACGTCGTTCTTCTTGGAACGCGGGAGAACGATGCTTCCGGTGCGCGAAGCGTTGGCGAGGGCTACGACGCGGCCCAGAATCTTCTGGGGGCCCTCCTCCACGCTTCCACGGCCTTTGTGGCGTCGGTCTGCTTGCTGAACCCGCTGTACCGAGAGCGGGGGCTCCCCGCGTCGATCGGTGCCCACGCGGCGGTCAACGGGCTGGGAGGGCTCCTCTCGCTGCTCCCGGGTGGAAACCACAGCAACAGCGGTGAGGCCGGATCTCCGCAACAATCTTGATCATCGGAAGCAGAGACTAAGCAGCAGCCGCCGACAGTGGTTTCGATTCGAGCCAGCCAACGAAACGATCTGCGGCGAGTAGATGCCATACCACACTACGGGACCGAAAACGATTGTCTCGCAGAGAAAGCATGGAGTTGAATCTAAAAATTCAAAATAAATTTGCAGGAAACGTTCTTGTTTCCCAACTCTGTGCTTCCGGTGTTACGCATCAAACATCGCAAGTACACCCTACCAGCGAAGAAGGCAGTAATAGCACTATGTATCTGGAAAGTTAGTGAGTTCGGGTAGTTAGTTCAGCTAGCTAGGAGGCTAGTTACATAGCTACTGTAGTTGGTTCGCGACCTTGATTCCCCAGGTACTAAGAAAACATTGCAGCGAGGACCGTGGCGAGCGATGCTCCCATCACAATCCGCTGTGCAAGGCCACCTGCAACGATGGTGGCGGACCCACCGCTGCCCTTGGTTCCGTCCTCGCAGAGGCCACGGGTCTCGAGAACACTGCTGCCGGTGGCGTCCATCTTCTTGCATGCGCACGACTGGTAGTCCGAGCCATCTTCCTTGTTGTAATCGCCGATCGGCAAGCCCTCCGCGGTCTCGCAGGCCGACCGGCAGATGTCTTCGGACACAATGGTCTCCGGGCCGAAGTCACCCTTTGCAAAGTCGACGCAGCTGGGCTTGGTGGTCTTTCAATCGCCCTGGTCGTTCAGATCCTGTGCTGGTACCTCCAGGTGCACCTCGGACACCAGATCATCGAGGGGGCCCAGCCAGCCGTTCTCGAATCGCTCGGGGGGGCACTCACGATCGCTCCGCTTTTTGCCTTCTATGAGGCCATATGGGCACTGGGAATCAACCGGGAGCTTCAGGAATCTACGCTGCTGCTTGTAGAAGAGTACACACGCAACATTTGCTCCGAGGTGGGGGCGGAGGCCACCATGAAGGCCTGCCGGAACCTCGTACTCGAGCATTAACGTATGATTGTACTAATGCTGCTTCTATGCATTTGCCAGTGAAAACATCGATTATTTTTCGAAATCGATAGTTCCTTGATGCGGATTTGCTGACATTTAACGCGTAGAACCATTTTTTACAAACACTTCGAAAACTTGATTTTTCTGTAACGAGTCTATTTCTACATACGCAGTATTATTTCAATGCCTTACCACGTTTAGAAAAACAGAATGAACGACAACTATGATTTCTTCGATTCTGCGCCTTGTTGCTAGAGCTCGTCTCCGGTGGTATGGCCTCTTTTGGGATCCACCAGGCCGAGCCTGCGGGCAATGAGCTTTGCAACAGATTTGCTTCCGATCGCCGAGATTTCGATGGCCGAAACCGCAGATTCCATCGCGTTGGTATAATAAATGGCGTTAGTTTTCCTGGAAGACTTATGTTTGCCTCCGTTGTAAAGCAGGAAGTTGGTCGAGCGCGAAGATTCTCCCCCACCGTTGAATGCCGGTGTTGCACCTCCCCTGCGACCCCCCCACACCTTGGTATCCTCGACGATTGCGTCTTTTCCAAAGATGTCTTCGACCAACTCGGAGCTCAGCTCGGACGAGCTAAAAACTTTGTAGACTCCTTCGGTGATACGGCTGATTGATGATAGTCCCGTTTCGGTTCGTCCGTTCTCGGTAAAGAGAATCGATCGCGGTAAACCGTCGCTGGATTCGTCCTCTTCAAGGTGAAAATAAGATGGTTGAAGCTTGGCATTTGAGACAAAGGTCGTTGCAACCTGTGTATACGGTCGCTTCGTGCTCGAGGGTAGGTGGTGGTGTCCACCCAGAGAATGTACATGTTCGTGAATGTTCGCATCGGAGTTATCGCTGTCGACCATTTCGTTCAGGGGTATATAGTACAACAGACCCTCGTCAAAGACGCTTCCCTTTCCCATAAATTCGATCCCACTAAATTGGAGAGGCGTTGCTACCACAACAATATTGTATGGCGTCGAGTCCACAAGTTTTCCATCCTCGCCGAAGAGTTCGATTTGTTGCGATTCCAAATCAGCAGAAACTAGTGTCTGAATTTTTATGGGAAGCCTCCGGATTGTTTTGTTGCTGCTTTCCGTGCCACATGTTTTGTCACGGATTCGATCGGCTTGTCGAAAGGCAGAGGAAATGAGCTTGTCGTTTCCCCCCTCAATCGCAAAAAGCTCGCCGGTTCCCGCAATCGAGTTCACCAGACCTCCGAGACCCGTCATTTGGGAATTAAGCTGGTTGTTGTTGCAAATATTCATCGCGGTGTATAGTTCCGATCGCACGAGTCCCTGCTTGGCCATAGACTCTACAAACCAACGCCTCCACCAAGCCATTGAAGAGGAAACACCGATCTCGTCGAGGTATTCGTCAAAGCTGACGCTTGCTTCGTGGGATAGACCAACTTTTTCCCAAATGTCATCGGGCGATTCAAAAAAGGTGTCCTCGTGATCGACATCGTCCAGGAGGTCATAAATTTTTTCAAAAGATTTTAGAGCAACCTGTGTGGCTTGGTGAATTCTCCAGAGGTCAAGGTTGTACCTCCACATCATGTGCGATTCTGTCTCGCTTTTGGTTGTGTTCACCATCCATAGCGGAAAAAGGGATCCCTCATTGTGATTGATGGTGCTGGTGCTGTGCACGCCATCGTAAATCCCAAGGCCTTTGCCTCCACTGCCATGGGGATTGATTTTTTTTAGAATTCGGTCACTATCAATGTCTCCCAACGACCCCTCGATCATTTCGTTGACAAGCTTGTTGCCTCCAAAGAGAATCGACGCTCCCCGTTCAACCACAGTACCATCTTTCAGTGTGTGAGAGGATACCCTCGACCCCTGGTTGAATCTGCCGCTATTATTAGTGGTTCCGTCATTGGGTGAAGGCGGGGGTTCAAACACTGTGATATCTATGGAGCAATGGACATCGAAGTCGGTAAGATATTTCGTGAGAAAGGATCCAGAAATCCCACCACCAATAACTGCAATGCGAGTCGACTTCTTCCTTTCGAGATCGTTGGCTTTCGAAGCAGCAGATGCTACAGATTTTCTGGCTTCATCCCCTAGTCTGAAACCCAAAGATAATAAGAGTATGGTAGAAAAGCGGGTCTTCATCGTTATCTAGCCACCATGAACGATAAAGCAAACAATCATGGTCGAATATTGGTTGGCGATGATGTCCCTTTCATAGTACGAAGTAACCGTGAGCTGTTCCGCTAGAATCTCGAAAGGATTTGTCAAAGCATCCGTTCAGCACTCACATTTCTGGAAGTCCTTACCGTACGGTATGTACCGGCGGTACTTTAAACGAGAACTGGTACTTTCAGCATGAAAATAATTGGAACAGTAACTTTTTTCGAGGGCTGTTGTAAAATTATCAAAAATCATACCGTCCCCTAATATAAACTTAATTAGAACAACTTTTCCTAATTTCTTGTTTTCTTCCTTCGCCAACAGTCATTTCTCTTCAGTGAATTATTGAATTTTTAGTTTTTCACTTTTTCATTTTCAAGTTTTTCCGTCCCTTTTTTACTATATCCCTTTCACCGCTGTTTTCAGTTGCTCCTTTATGGTGCAGGTGCTGGGCGCGCCTCAACAAATACACTTCATCAACCTCCTTGTCACAAGCTCCAAATTACCTCGTCATTTTTTATTCCCAATCATGGTCACTGCAGCAACTTTCCTTAGTACTATGCGACTCTGGCACCCATCCTCGTCCCTTGAACAATACAGGAAGAAACGTGTACCTTTTGCTTCCTGCTCTACAAAAAAGGGTGCCCTGATTAAGGACCTTCGATCGTATTGTTTCAATCATTACAGTATCACATTAACTGGACAATCACCTAAAAAGCATTGGATTTTGAGATGTGACAGCATTCTGCGAGAACACATTCACTCTTTGAGTGATTCAACTACCTCCACCAAGTACTTCGATGAACTTATTGACTTTGGTCAAAAGGATTTCAATTTCCGAGAGGCACAAAGCAACATAATTTCTGCACGTTCCAAGTTTCAACTGACGCAACTACCATGTAGAATTTTCACAGATGAGGAAGTGCTTATGTCCATGTTTCAATCTTGTATTTGAAAAAGTAAGAACTCATCCAAAGTGGCTCTTTCCCAATAATGTACATGTACTAGGAGGTCTTATTGAAAGTCTTGTCTACCACTCATCATGTGTTGTGCCATGTGCAAAACAGCTTGTAAAGGAGGCCTCTCAGTATAAACATCAACAAAGCAGTTCTGGGCAATCCAATGCTCTCATAATCAACTATCCATTGGGGTTGCATCTGCACAATCTTGTATCACCCACCGCTATCAAATCCAGTACAAAATACAACTCAACAACAACAAAAAATGCCAAAAGGTGGGGGTCGCATGGAGAGTTGTTTTACAACTTTTCCTCTCCAAACTCACCAAAAAAAAAACAAGACCAAGAGAGAAGGTGGTCACAACTTTTCAGATACTGCTCGTATCAACAGAGAAATGTGTAGCTGTAACTTAAAAGGTGTTAACCAAGCTTTTAAGGCACAACAGGATTTGAAATCAGGTAACCTCACGGAACAAGGTATAGCAGCAGTCAAATTGTTCACCAACAAAAAACGGAAGAAACTCTTGATATATCTGTTGAGAAATTTTCTGAAATAATTCCTGGGTGATACATTCTCTATTCAATTCGGAAGGAGGAAGCTGCCAATGATCAGTATTCACCAAGTACAAAACTGCCCTTCCTAGACAAACCCTCTGAAATACAATGTGCATCGAAACATCATGAATGGCAACTGAAATACTTCTCCGACTATCAGGGAAGCAATGATATTGTACCTGATTCCTCCTCTCTGCTATATGAAGACGTCTCAAATTGTGTGTCTGCAATTACTATCCCCTCTTTGAACAACATTTCGACCTTATACTTGGAGCACGTGTCTCCCCAAAAGCAAGCGTTATCCCAATTCAACACGTACAAATACAGTACTAATGTGGTGGTAACACCAGCCCTATATCAGTACATCAAACAACAAACAACAAACAGCAATAACATCCAAGAAACACTTACTACTTGACTCTCAACTGTATGAGAGAATTGCACATGAAGTTTGAAAATCAGAGAGTGATTGGAAGTGTTCMTGTGTAGGGGGTCTTTCAGGTRCACTTTTAGCAGTGATATGCAGTAAAAATTAAGTTGTCAAAAAATCCTGGGGTGTCATTTTCCAATTTTGGACACACATGGAATAATGAATTTCTGATCCTGCATGAGAAAAAAAACCTGTTGCACGCCCCTCTAAAATTATGACCCCTGTGTACCGGTACTAGGGTAGGAGCTGTCAAATACAATTGGATCGCGATTGCAAACAGTTTCTAACGGTGAAAAAACTGACTTACTTTATCCTTACAGTTTGTACGTACTCGAACTTTGTGTTTAGGTGATCCTACACTCGTACACTACTGCATGGTAGCTTGAAAAAATCCAACAAAGCACTACTAGTAATACTGTAGTAGACACTAAAGATGTACGGTACATACTAGTCTGACATTGGGTCATTCCCAATATTCTAGATCTCTAAATTTTTGGTCTATCAGTCCATCAGAATTTAGAGTTTTTGACTCTAGATTTAGCACATTTAGGACTGGTCAAAGTGACCAGTTCTAAATACTCTAGATTTAGAGTGGAACCCACGAATAAAAATTTCCAGTCCGTTGAAAGACTCAACAGAAAGGCCTGCCAAAATAAGACTGACTTCAAGAAAATGAAGACTCCGTTGATCTAAACAAAAAGAGCAACAAGGCACCTTCTTCTTGTCTATTGACCATGGTGCCTCCTATCCTATTAACAACAACAATGTCATAAAAGGCGCCTACAGCATAGGACACAATGTCTCAACCGGCCATTATAGTTGCTACATTCTATTTCCTCTCTTTGTTGGTGCATCAAAGAGACAAGGAAGAGGAGGAGCAGGCTCTGATCCCTTGTGCCACTTCACACTTACTACTAAGATGGAACCAAACACCAATCCCAATGCCCCCAATGACAATAATGGGTGTCAAACTTTTACCGTTAACTACTCTGAAGAAGAGCTGGAGAGCCTCATGGAGGTGATTGTGGAGGTGCTCCCCATTGACTCAGAACAGTGGAATACAGCAGTTGTCACCACGCATGCTTCAAAGTGGCCCTTAGAAATCCATTAGGAACAAGTATGGTTTCATCAAAAGAAGAAGAAGCTCAACTAGTAACCCCAACATGCCAAGGTACATGAAGCTCGCATGGAAGGCCCATTACTTGATTGGAAAAAGGCAAATATTGGTACCAGAGAGGAGGACTTTGACATGAAGACAGGCTATCCTGTTGATGAAGCTGATGGGGGTTTGGAGAAGGTCCCCTCTACTGAAGTGCAGCAAGAGAGAGCACCCATTATCCATGTTGGAGATGCATCGACTATTGACTCATCCATGGTGAGGCCTGCAAAAGTGCAGTCTTCTACTCCAAATAAGAGACCCTATTCAAAAGTTCCAGACGCTACTGTATTCAATGAGTACTTGTTGAGCCAGCAAGAAAGGGACAAAGAAAACTTTGAATTAGCTTTAGAGCAGTCAAAGATTGCAAAGGAGGCAAGCCAAATTGCTAAGGAGACCAATCTGATCTGGAAGAACGCTCTCGGAATGGCAATGAATTGCTTCCAGCAATGGCAAAGCACAACAGAACAAACAACAACAACGACAACGCTGCTTACCAGTCCACCAACAAACGCCCCTGTACGGCCACAGGAGAACAATCCCAAGTTGAAAACAACTAGAAAGGCAACATTGGTTGGTTTGTTTAAGCACTAATTCAAATGAACTGTATGACAGGGATTGAAATAAACTTAGTGAGCCTATAGACTGCATGGTATGCAAACAGCAGCAATGAAACCAGCAGTTGTACTCCTTGCTGTGGCGGTACGTGATACTAGGGACTGTACTTACTCCTGGGTTTTGGTGCATACCAATGTAGGATTAGAATGTCTTTTAGTTAATAAAGCACGTGCTGGGCAATCCCATGAAAACCGTGGATTCCTACAAAAACGGTCCAAAACAATTTGTATTGGCATGCACATACAGTCATTCTTGACATGCACATATTTCATATCATACCCTCTTCTTTATTGTAGAATAAGAATCTATTTGTATTCATTACAGTATAAATTGAAATCTTGTTCTGCAGCATTGCTCTGTTTCAACGGATGTTGGACAAGGTTCACACGAAAACGGTACTGGATCAACAGCTCTTTCACTAGAGCTGCAGCAACACTACGCAGCTGCACTAAGCAGCAATCAGTCATACTGTATGGAAATCATGATTAGTTAACAAAGAATTCAACAATGGTTAAAGAAAGTAACCATTGGATCCGATCCACCATGGTAAGAACAATGGTAAGCGACGCCTTGGTTGTGTGTGCTGTGCTGTGCCATGTGCGTCTATCGGCTGCGTCAAACTTTTGTTCTTGTCTATTCTTGACACTAATTACATTTAATCTTTCTCATGGAACCAATTGACCATGGGATTCACCCAAAGATGTCATTTCCATGATGGGGGTATATATTGCGTCCAACATAGAAGAAACCCTCCGCAAGATCATTCTTCTTGTACGGTTCTTCTGGATCAGTTGCTGCCGGTGTCCTCATGAACGTTGATAGGATCTGGTTGTGTCCTACAGTACTACATTGGTAGTTGTAGAGGTGGATTAAAAGGTTCATGATGATCTTCCTGTCTCCATGCTCCTCCAAGAACATCCTGTCTTTGATTCATKGAAACTGTTCTTGAATCATTTGCATTCGCATCCCCCACTCAGACATCTGTCTCAGGGAAGTTGCGTCCCTATTGATGAGTAGGAGATCCTCCTGTTCTGGGTCATGCTGGGAGCTTTTGATGAGGATATGCTCCCTTTCCTTCAGCAAGGCAAATGCTGAATCAACCACGACCTTTGTATTGGACTGTGCATGTACCTCCTCAATCTTGTCATAGACACCACCATGGTCGGCAATGGCGCTGTCATGCTATGCGCCTAGACAGTTGAAGACTGCAATCCTGATTCTACCATCTGTTGCAAAGACAAACAAGCTGTTGACAAAGGTGTTCTCCTTCCAAGCATTGTAGAAGGCTCTCTGTTTGAACCAGTCTTCTGAGGCTTCAATTGCACTCTTGAGACCATCTGCAGCAGCCCAAACACGTTGCTCTCCAAGCCTTGGATACTTTTCTCCAATTGCCTTAACATAAGCATCCACTTCTTGCTCAGTTGGGACACTGACCATGGCCTCTGGACATTTGTGAAGAGCAACAAGCATCACTCTCCTTGAAAACTTGAGCCACTTATACATCACCACTGTGGATGTTAAGCCAAAGGCCATCGCCATTGACCTTGCAACACCAGATCCTCTTGTCTTGTACCAGTAAAGGACCATTCCTATTGCAAAGACTGTATTGACCTCTCTCTTCTTTCCCTTGGGCTTGACACTGGGGAATCTAGCAACCTCAACAATCTCATTGTCACCGTTGACAGTATATTTGTTGTATACTGGGGCAAAGACATCAACAAGCTCCCTCAAGACCTTGTGGTCTACGCCACAGCAGTTGAGCAGTGCCTGTTCATCCCCTGAGTTGAAGAGATGGAGGAAGGGGGAATCAGCATATCTCCTGATTGCAAATTTTGGTGTTCTCCTGTCCCTCTTCCGACACTCCTCAGGAGAGAGCTTTTGCATGTAAGTTTGGTTATTCAGGTGAATGCACCAGTGCATTCTTGTAACGATCTCCACTACTCCCATTGTGGCATTGTTTCTTGCTAGGAGAAAACTGTTGTCTTTTTGTTGTCTTGTCGGCTCGTTGTTGGTAGCTACTAGTAGCGTAAGGAATGAACATATTTTCTGATGAAAATGTGAGAGTAGTACAGAAAATTTGTTCAATTCTTCTTACTCTATTGCTGTTGAATATCAAAATTTTCATGTTTTACTTTGTACCCAAAGCAAGATTCAAAATTCCAGAAAAGACTGGCTTCAAACTGGCATCCTCTCAGTCTGTCCGTTCAATGTCTTGATTCCTGTTATTCTAGTAGATCCCTAGTTTAGAGTTTTAGAGATCGAGAATATCGGGAATGACCCATTGGGTGATTCCCGTAAACATAGATTTAAGTAAAATCGTATTAGACTTCAGATGTGCACACATAGAAGTATGTGTTTTTGACACGGATACATAGATTTTTGGTTCAGGCAGGCTCTCGACAACCAAAAGTATGCAAAAAACACATAGATTTTTTGTAATTCTCGACTCAAAAATTCATTAGTCACAAGCAATTGACAACGCTGGGGGAATGCAGTTTTTTTCTGTTAATTTCAAGCAGAATTCCATATTCCAAATTAAGCACATTTAGCGAGACACAGTCTATGACACTCAAATCTATGTAGTCAGATTTTTATTCCCGTTAAGTCATAAATGCGATTTATGCCAGCATAGATTCTATGTTTACGGGAATCACCCATTTACTACAGTAATGGAAAAAAGGAAAAAATAAATTTTACGAGTTCGTACTCGGAACACTGCGTACGGTACGTACGCTACGATAGCATAATTTGCAAAAAATAATGATGTGAACTGTAGGCAAGGTTGAGTCAAATTTAGTGTTCTCTTTCTTATTCTCTATTTCTTTGAAATAGGAGCTATCCACCCAGCTCTAATAATCACGGCGCTCGTGCCGGAAGTCACTCCTCTTGTACTCTTTACCATTCTTTTGAACGAACTGATCTACTCCTCCTCTTCGTCGTCGTCGTCGTCGTCATCGTCAAGTTCTCCATTAGCAAAAAGAGATTCCGCCTTCTCGATGAGCATCTCGTCGTCCGAGTCGACATCATTGAGCAGCTGGCGACATTCTTCGTGGCTATTTCCCATTGTTCTGGGGCGAGTAATTACTAGTTTGACCGTATAAGCACCGCCGTTGTCGCCAAATTTGTCATCGAATGCAAGGCAATTCAAAACACCATCTTCCTCGCAGACTTTTGACATAATATGTCCAGCATCTTGTCGGACTGGAAACCAAGAATTTGCGTTCACAATATGTGCTGGACAATATCGCTGTTGACGTCCTTTATCCGGCACCGATTTTCCTAGCCTGTACTTTTTCTTGCTACTGGCATAAATTGGTCCCTTAGCTTTGGGCATGCACATGATGATGCCTCCTTCATCTCTTGCAAATTTTTGTTTCCCGATCTTCATGCCGTACCCATCGCGTTGTTTGTTTCCATTAGCAGGACTGTTTTTTTTTATTTTGTCTGAATCTTTATTAAATTGAACTTCCCTCTTCTTCTGAGTATCCTTGTCAAACAGAGCCTTCGCTGCGTTTTTTACTTTAACGACACCCTGAATGAGGCCGATAATGCCTTCAACCCTTGATAAAGGTTTCGCGGTGAATGATCCAATGCCGCTCAAGCTTTGAATCTCAACTTTATCGCCCTTTTTGAGTCCATCGAGAGTTAGTCCAGAGCTATCGTTGCAGCTGATAGTTGCCCAAATCTGCATACTCACTGTGTCCTTTGGGACTACAGTATCAGGCTTGAAAGTGATGTCTGCAGCACCTGGAAGCACACTGTCTTCCATAGGAGGAGCGGAATACAACGAAGTCTGCGGACTTTGGCTCGCACTCTTCGTTGGTGCAAATCCCTGAGCGGATTGAACAAGGAAAAGAAACTTGATAACGTTGGCGTTGAAGTATCTCATGGTAACGATTGCACTTTGATAATGTTTGGAAAAGATTGAAATTAGTAAAATACTTTTGTGTAAACTTTTGCTTCTTGATTGATCAAGATTGTATTTTATGAGGTATCGAAGTGAAGAAAATTTGAAGGACAAGCGGAAGTAATTTCGTCCCTACGCAATAGCACAAGATTTGACATCCCTTGTCAGAATGGTGGTTGTTGAAGGAATCAAACGGCATTACGTCAGATCACCTTTCAGTATCGTCTCTAAGTAATACCACAAGCTTTGACAACCTGTGTCAGAATTCTGGTTGTTGAAGGAATCAAACTACATTACGTCACATCACCTTGCAGTATCATCTCTACGTAATACCACAACATTTGACAACCTGTGTCAGAATTCTGGTTGTTGAAGGAATCAAACGGCATAACGTCACAAATAGCTGTCGTCAGGTTATCGTCGTAGTCTTCGAGCGTGAAAGAAAGTGGAGAATTGAAGGAATCCAACAGGTGCAACGTGGCGATCTGATTCCAATTCTATCTGTACGTCGTTTATAAGAAAAAAGGTAGAGCGGTATGTTCGAGGGTGCCAGTGGATTGTGGTCGAAGAACGACGGTGTCAGAACTCTACAAGCATCTTCCACGTTGATTCTCGGCATCAAGTGCACGAGGTCTACTCTCGTCAGATGTGCGCCTCCGATATTATTGGCTTTGTGTTGAAGAAACCACGAATTTAATATTGACAATCGTGTATAGGAAACTTTGAGCGAAATCTATTGCTTCCTTCCAAAGGGCGTGAAAGTAAAATATCATAAAAGTATTATCATTTTTCTTTTCTGTTCGAAAAAATGATTGAAAACGAGAAGAATTTTCATTCATGTTTCAAGGACTATCCATATTATCGATTGCTCCCAACGGGATTTAGCCTCACAGTCTATATCAATTCAGAACCGAAAATACGGTTTGCATTTTGGTATTGATATCGTTCTATCTGTCAAAAAATGAGGTATCCAGTGCGTATCCAAATTTCAAACGATGGCACTGCATAGATAGTTTCTTCTTAAAAAATTAATAAGTTGAAGAGCCAAACAAAGTATAAGCAAAGTAAAAAAGAACGATAAGTACTTAATTTTTGTGAGATGACTTAATGATTCGTATCAAACAGTGTTTTTAAAAAAGAACAATAAGTGTGTTGAAAGATACTACAACACCGGTATAAGTCAACCAAACAAAGTATATGCAAAAGAAAAACTACTAACTAAGTACCTACCCGTTGCGGACGGCAGTACGGTACGAAGTACTAATAATATTCAAATTAACTAACCCACTAAAATTCAATTAATCACCTTGCTGGATTGTACGGCATGTTTCGATCGCCATTGTAAACGATGATTCCAACACAAATAATTAGGCTCCCAACCAAGAAAATTGTATGCATCATACCAGCGCGTAAAGTACCCAGTATTGGTCAGGGGTCATAAATTTAGAGGGGTATGCAACGCGTCGAAACTCATATTCCACGTGCGGTCCAAATTTCCAARAAGTCACTCAAGGAATTTTTTTCATTCTCATTTTTACTGCATAATACTAGTAAAACTATCCAACCTTTGAGCAGCTACAACTTTATCAAAAATACTACTGTTTTAATTTTTGAGTAGCCAGCCTAGTCCATTTTTTTATGCTGATTCTGAATATACCATTTTGTCAGATATTAAATTTATATTTGTGGTACTATTTTACTATTGGAAAATGAACATAATTTCCATAGTAGTAGTAGTAGTACTAGCAGTAGTACTGTTACTATAGTAGTACTGTTACTAGTACCGTGGAATATGAGTTTCACTTTTGTTTTTTGCTTCGTAAAACTTCGTTGCATACCCCTCTAAATTATGACCCCTGGTATTGGTCCAGTACGATATGTTATATAACTGTGGAGGAGCTCGCCCAGCGCATCTACGAGGAACAAAACCTAATGAGGTGGAGACAGGTCCAGAGCCAGTACAAATTTTACACGGGTCTACGGAGGTAGTAACAATACACCTCATTAGGGTTCCCGACTTGAACCTGTCTCACTTTTAAAAAAAAACAGTAAGTATTTTGATATCGAAATATTGAGTAGTACTAATTTGTATGTAGGATGCCATGATACTGATATGGAAAACTCAAATTAAAAAAACACTTGTTGGTCGATTGATCTGAGACTTCCGGATCCCCTTCTTCTTATTACAGTGAAGTTATTCCAGTATATGTGTGGAGGGGAAGTGTCCCCAATCGGTGTGTCTGGAGGGAGAGGCAACCCCCCTCGTGCCGTTTTTTTTACTAGTAGTTAAACTGCGCGTTTTTTTGGTGATTATAACCTGTCTCATATTTGATCCACACATTAGGTTTCGTTCCTTGTACCCAAATCAAACACACAGTACAAAACTTTTCCCACACAAATAACACGGACCTCAACAGAGTACATTTTCTGGTACGATTTGGGTACACCAGTAACATCACTGAGATTGAGAGCTTTAGCTCGAGATCGAAGTGAGGTTACTGCAAGTATTATCTTCAACACCAACAAGCCCAAGAGCTTGAGCTTGAGAGCTTGTTGGTGTTGAAGATAGTACTTGTAGCGCTGAAAGCAGAGCTCTTCCACAGTTATTTACGTAACCATTGAAACAGATCAACATTTCCATGTACTCAGCAAATTGCTGATACGGAGGAGTCAGCGCTGATACAATACTGAGGAGCCAGCGCTGATGCGATACGGACAAGGAGCCAGCGCTGATACAATACAGAGGACGCTGATACGATACGGAGGAGGAGGAGCAAGCTGCTGATACAATAAGGAGGAGGAGTGAGCTGCTGATACGGAGAACGCTGATACCATAAGGAGGACGCTTGCTGATACAATAAGGAGGACGCTGATACCATACAGAGGAGCTGCTGCTGATACGGAGGAGCCACTGCTGATACGGAGGACGCTCAATGATACGGAGGACACTGATACAAGTTGCTGATACTACAGAGGAGCTGCTGATACAATACAGCGTTCTGCTGCTGGTGTTTTGCTTGTTTCCCCCTGCAAATCAATATTTCTACCTTGTTTTCTACACGACTTTGTACTGGAATAGCAATCAAGATCAGTTTTTCACTGAAAACTGCTCACGTTTTTTTAGTACTCCTTGTAATTGTACTGATACTATGTACAGTATTTAGTGAAGACAGTTCTTTAGTTTGTACCTGTTGAGGTGCAAATTCCTTTGTGCACCAGTGCATTTTTTTTGTAACCAGACTACTAGTAGTATGGTGTAAAAAATATGGGCTCTCTTTAGGAAAGGGTTTGGTTACAAAAATCTGGATACAAAATTCAGTCCGTGCGGTTTGTAACCAGTTGAGGTGCATGTACTTAGGCAAAAAATAACTAGTAGTGTTTGTACGGTACGATCTGCTCAACAAATCATGTACCTAAAAAATACCACATGCGCTGAGTACATGGAAATGTTGATCTGCTCAACGGTTACCACAGGGGTCATAAAATAGAGGGGTGTGCAACAGATTTTTTTTCTCTTGTAGGATCAGGATTTCATCATTCCATTCACCCCAGGATTTTTTGACAACTCCATTTTTACTGCATAATACTACGGTAGAAAAATTGTTCAACTTCAAAGTAGGAACAACTTCATCAAAAATATGAATAATATGCATTTTTACTACTAGCCTGTATATTTCAGTTTTTTATGAGGATTCTGAATATATAATTTTCTTGGATATCAAATTGATTTTTGTGCTATCATTCTTTTGTTATGACATGACCAAATTAGTACTACTAGTAATAGTAGTAGTAGAGCTACTACTAGTAGTAGTACTACTGGAAAAGTAGTAAGCAAAATGGATGAAGGACAGACTGTTCAAATTTTTGTTAGGGACTGGACTGTTTTCACAAAATTGGATGGAGGACAGACTATTTCTACTACTAGAATTACAGTACTAGCCTAGTAGTACTAGTACTACGAGCTATGTTTCATCACATCAAAGCTCAAACTACAACTACTAGTAGAAAAACTATCTGCACTATCTAACCTTTAAGCAAGTAAAGCTTTATCAAAAATACAACTATTTTAATTTTTGAGTTGATAGTAGTCTAGCCCAGATTTTAATGCTGATTCTGGATATACTACTACTTTCTTGGATATAAAATTGTTGATAATTGACAGCAATGCCAACACAGCTTAGAAGTTGGGTGATGATGCACCAGAGAAAGAATGGTCTCCTGCCTCCTCCTCTCCTCTGCACACCAATACTATACTTCACTTGGAGGAGGTGCCACTCCACCAGGTTGTTTTTGTCCAGCCAAGAAAGCTACTTTCAATGGAAGACAAGCAATCCAATTTGTCCATTATATTCATAAGAAGCCAATCAAGCATTGTATCAAGAAGGTACTGTCTATGTGATGCAGGCACTGGGTACTTACTTGCCTTTGAGATCTACATGGGTGGTGTTGGTTGTGGGTCCACCTGAGATATTGTTCAGCATTTGATAATTCAATCCAAGAACCTTGGACAAGATAATGGCTGTTTACTGCTCATTGACAACTTTTACAATAGTACAATGAAAGTTGTGACTAAATCACATAAAGGACACAAATGGGTATCAGTTGGAACTGTTTTTCAGACAAAGAAGAATATTAATTCATGCTCTCCAGAAAGTTTTCCATATCCAAATGTATCTAAAGGCAGTGAAGTCTGAAGAAAGGGACATCTCAGAAGAGGATAGTAGTAGTACAAAATAATCAAAATCACTTTGCACAAACAGATGGTATCATTGTATATTTTCTTCTAGTTGTTTGGGAGAGTGGGACATCCCTGCTACATAAATGTGACCAATTTTGCATGTGATAAGTTTATCAAGAAATGGCAGAAAGTGTTCAAATCATCCATAATACAATGGAAGGAAAAGATTTCAAGATCCTCATCCATGTTGGCATTGCATTGACAAACAACGCCACCTGAAGAAAGATGCAATCGGAAGTACTATGGAGGAGCAACAAAGATGAACTATTGTGTTGTTTGTGTAGAAGAAAAGAAGAAAAGGTATCCTGACTCATCAATGATTAGGAGATTTAGGAAGTTGCCAGGCATTCAAAATGTCAAGGAAGAATGGTTGATCTTGCATAAGTTGCCATGTTGCTGTATGCAAAGAGCATTAGAGTAACTTCAACCATAAGCAAAGGAGGGTGTACTACTAGTAGTAGTGCTGTACAGCAGTAAGTCTTACACACCAGCCCAAAAGAAACACAAAGGCAATGACCACAACAACACAGGTGCACAACAAACTCAGCAAACAATGCTGCACCTCTCCCTCCAACTACTGCCATTTCAATTGCAACTATGATCATCGTCAATCAATCTACTTCTCTTGTACTATATTTGTCCTATCCTTTGTCTGTAGCTACTAGGCCTTGGTTCAATAAATTAATTTCCCTCCGGATCATCCCCAATCGCATTGATGGGATATAGTAGACCCACTATTGTGTGTGTTTTAAATCTAGTACTAGGGTTCTACGCCTTACAGACAGAACCCACCATGTTAGTAAACAACTACAGTACTGCACTAGTTCTAGTACCACCAAGGATGGAATTTATAAATCTTAATATTATATTTAACATCCTGAACTAGAAGAGATACCCCCTGATTGTGTTGGTGAGTCATTTGTTAGATTTTTTGCTCCACTCATATGTTGCTGTGGGAACAATAGTGTAACAATCTTTCTCAGTAACAACAAGCGCTGCATTGCAGCTGTTTAATAGCAAAAGTTTGTGATTTATTTGCCCTGAAACCATAGGTTTGTCCCTCCTATGATTACCTCTTCCCTATAGACCCTCAAGTCTACCCCACCCACTTACTTGGTCATGCCTCCATCGCATCTCCTCAGAGGGAGGTGCCACACCTTGGGGTGACCAGGAGCATTCTTCTCCTGCTCTCAAGTTCTGGTCCTGGCCTACCAAGTACCAGGATGGAATATGAGTTTTGGTTTATGTGGTGCAGTATCTGCAAAATCATGGTACGCATGTACTTTCTGTGTAGATCCTTGTGTATTTTTGATACCATTTTCCATGCCCCTGATATTTAGTAGTAGTAAGTAACTTTTTTATATATCTCTAGTACACAAGTCAGCAGGGGGTATATATATTATTACATCAACCAGGAGTATTGTCACTCAAAATGTAGAATTTTCCTGTCTACAACTTCTGAGTAAGAGATACAAGAAATGCTACAATTTAATTGGCACTCACAAGCAATTCATACACTTCCTTTAGTATCAAGCCATCCTCACAATAAAGTACAATAATTGGAAAATGCACTTAGGAGTACATCAGTATTGGTGCAGATTTGTCAAGCAGTCTCCTATAGCAGTACTACTAGTAGTTTTATACAGAGGACAATTGCTGATATGGAGGAGAGCTGCCAGTGCCAATATGGACAAGGAGGCTCAATAATACAGAGGAGGCCTGTTCTTGAGGTGGAGGAGGAATACAATAGAAGATGCTGGCTGATACTGAGGGCACTGATACCAAGGATGGGATGTTGATACAGAGGACACTGATGCAAGTTCCTGATATGAGTTGCTGCTGAATAAAATTACAGTCTAAAAGTGCAGTCTAGTTGTACAATCACAGCAGTCAACAAATATGTCAGTATACCAGGTGCAGATCCATCACAGGGGGGGGAGGGGATGCTTGCTGGTACAGAGGGGTTGTTGCTGATATGGAGGGGCTGCTGATAGTACTATGGAGGATGCCAATACAAGTTGGTGATAGGAGTCACTATTAGTAATAATATGAGTTGCTCATAAGAGTTGCCAATACTGGTGAGGATGCTTACTGATACAGAGGATGCTGATATGAGTTGCTGATACAGAGTACACTTGCGATATGGAGGACAATCAATGATAATGCTGGTGACACTAGCTGTAACAGAGGATGCTTACCCAATTTTCTGATACTAGTACTACTACTACTACTAGTACCAATTGCTGATACAGAGGATACTGATAGATGGAGGATAATGCTGGTGATATAGAGCACACTGATAAAGAGCATCATGCTGTTGATCCTTCTTTAGTAGCAGTAGTCTGACTTGCTAATGTATTCAAAGTAGTAAGCACTCTGAAATTGTACCTGCAGACTGTTCAAGGAAGTATGCAATGTTTCTCAAGTACATCATTTTTTTATGGCATTTTTTGGTTGGTATGGGCAACAGAAATCTTACACTGTTTTTTGTTGTTGTTGGGTGGTTGGGGTACACATCTGACACCAGGGGCATTGAAGTGTTCTCAACCAAAAAACTGAGGGAGGATCCATGAAATTTGGCCCAAAAAGTGTCTTGTAGAAATAAAACTAGTCCTATCCAAAATGAATAAAGAAAAAAGCTAGCACAGGAGCTGGTACAAAGGGGCTTGGAGCAAATGTTTCCAATACAAACAAGAAGATGCTTCAGTGTGCATTGGTTCATTACATGAGGGTGAAAATATTCAAAAACATGAAATTCTTTCTGATTGATCAAGATGGATATAATGGGCGTGTCTGTGCACAGGCCATCATTGTGGACAACAAGGCAGTTAACAAAATGGATGAGTTTGACAACAACTCAGAGAGTCCAGGCATGACAGGAAAAATCTTGAACCCCATTGTACAGGTCATCCAGGGACACAGGTAGTGCAGACTTTTATTACTTTTTAAGAAGGATACTTGGTGATACTAGTATGAACCCAGCAATGCAAACTTTGTGCACACTAGTAGAGATCAAAGTACTGGTGAGTAGGAATCCAGAAACAGAAGTGGAGTTTGAAAAGCTGACAAGAGAACAATTCCAAGCTGAAAAATGGTGGAGACATAATACTGCCAGAAACCTGTCTCTGTTGACATAATTACTGACAGATATATTCCTGACAAATTCCTTCAGATGCTGGGAAGTCCATCCAATTTTGATGAAATGAAATCTGAGCATGACAACATTGGTGAACCAGCCACTTCAAGAATCATATGACCAATGGAAGAAGTTTAATAATTGCTATCATGAATAGTGAATGCAAAAAAGTGAGAATATTGAGAATGAATATGAAAATGACTATAACACTGACAGTAGATATGAATACGGTGTTGACACATTCTACTTCCTCTGCCACCGAAGCAGACCAATCCCCCAATCAAGCTCTGCTTGCAAGTTACTTTTACGTACGGTATTTATTCCAGTACCGGTACATTTACACTTTTACGGTTCATTGTGGTCGACTCAGTCGAATGAAACTAAGAATCACTCTTGATTGGTTTGGCTAAAAACTGAATAGCAGCCTACCGTACCTACCGGCCGGTACATGACTTACGGACCGCACGATACTATCCTGCCGAGACTTGGTACGGATTATTTTTGCCGTTATTCCCTTCACGCGCTGGCAGAGCTCTGGAGTAACACAGATATTCCATCATTGGCTTGGGAACAAGAGAAAGACAACCGAAATCGAGAACACGAAACGATCAAATGACGGGGAAAAATACGCTACGATAGCACAACCAGACACATACAAGCCAACATACCGTAGCTGCGAAACCCGTAAAGGCAACCAAACCCCGATTGGCATTTTATCGTATGCAACACCTTGCCGAGATACCGATAATCCCAGCACCCGAGCATATTTCTTTCGTCGTTTGACATTGCGACACACAAGTCGTACCTTGAGTGCTTCTTATTTCAACTGCGACTTCCATTTCGACTCCATTCGGAACAAAACGACACGAAACAAAGTTTGTTGTTCGCCGATCGGTTCTTCTATCACAACGAACAAACGTCAATCCGACCAAACCCGGCCCGCGGCACCATCCAAAACACATCAAAGAACGAACCCGACAATACACGAGATATCCTACCGGAGACTTATCTAACAAACCATGGGTTGTAATTCCAGCAAGGAGACCAATGGAGCCGTCGACGATCGGTACGACGAACACGGGAACCTTAGGCTCGCGAGCAGCGGAAGCAACATTGGCTCCAAGCTCAGCCGGAGCCTGAGCATGAAGCGCAGCTCGGAGGGCATCGACGTCTCGAGGGTTTCCGTCCACGAGCTTCTCAAGGGAACAAAGCAGATCCGCACGGACAGCCCTGCGCGCCTGTTTTTGCTGCTGGAAAAGGCCCTACACCAGGAGCGCAGGCCAACCACACCGGGGGGCGGAATGGATCTGGACGCCCTGGACGATCTCACGGCGGAGCGCCAGACTCTCTACACCGCAGCCATCGACCAACTCCAGGCGAGTATGGGCAAGAGGAGCAACGGCCAGTCTTTGTCGCCCGCTCAGTATTCCCACCCCGTCACCCAGCAGACGCCACTCCACCTGGCCTGCAGGCTGGTGGACATCGACCAAAACCAGATTTCCGCGAAGGAACTCTGCCGCGTCATGGACGCCTTGCTGCGGTGTTATCCCGAGGCGCTGGAGGCCAGGGATCAAACGGGCCACGTTCCACTGCACTATGCGATCGCCCCCAACCATTTTTCATCCGATCGGCGCGTCGACCGGGACGACGAGGACTGGAGGGCCCGGGGGATTTTTGCCCAGCACCTCTTCCATTCGAACCTGAGGGCGGCCCACACCTACTGGCAACAGAGCGATGTGTTCTTTGACGAGGACTTGGAAATTGGTGCCCAATCCATGGGTCGCTGCAGTCCCCTCTACCGCGTTTTGCAGACCCTTCCTGACGATTTCGATCGATCGGGACCTACCGTCGATTACATCAAGGTCTTGCTGCAGGCAAGTTACTGGGAAGAGAACAGCAACAGCGGCGGTAGCGGCGAGATCGCGGCTTCCAACAACAACAACATGGCGGGGGTCGGGAATTTCTCGGACGGAGACAAACCCCTTGGATTGCTGTACCGACGCTTTACCCGCCAGTTTGATATTTCCGAGATGTTCTTCCCCGGTGACAACTCGCGTCCGGAGGTGGTCCAGCACCGCGAAAAGTACAAATATGCCGCGGGGAACACCTGGAAGATCATCGAGGCGTTGCTGAAACCCCCCGCACAGCACGTCCAGGACACGCTGGCTCTGTCCCCCTCGAGCACCTCCTCGAAGCTCCAGCACCAAATGTCGCAACTATCGTCGGGATCGCCCCAGGGCACAAACGACAATTGGGGGATTGTTCACAGGGCCGTTCAGATGGAAACCCCACCGGATTTGCTGCGTTATATTGTCGAAACGAATGCCCAGGACCTGACTAAGGTGGATGGGCTTGGAAATCTTCCACTGCACTACGCCGCCATGGTCAAGCCACCCAAACCGACAGCCACCAGTAGCAAGCAAGGTCAACGGCACGACACGACGCATTTTCCTTCCTTTTATAGCAAGTACGTTGTCGACGAGCTTCTCTATAAGTTTCCCGAGGCGGCGAGCATGACTAACGCCGACGGAAAATTTCCCCTTACCCTCGCGGTTTCCTCCGGAAAGCAATGGATCGGAGGTGGCATCAAGAGTCTGTACGACGCCTTTCCCAAGGCACTGGGACAGATCGACTTGCAGCAAAAACATCACACTACTCTACGCCGTGCTCTCAGCATGGGTGGAGACAACGAGGCCCCTCCCGCGGGGGCCGACGGCGACGAAGAAGATCCGAACGCCACTGCAGAGGACGAATACAAGGAAGCGGCTCCCACCAGCGACGAGAGCCTGCTGCAGCTGGCCACCTCAATGACAAGGGAAGAGAACAACGGCGACGGAATCATCAAGGACGAGCACCACGACGCCATCATGCTGGTGCAGCAAGCCGACGTGGATTGTCGGGAGGTGGCGATTGCAATGTGGGCCCACGAAGAAGACGCGGGTGTGCAGATGCTTGGGTGCTGCGCAATCGCCCGGTTGCTCGGAGAATCGACGAGTGAAACAACGACGCTTGGAACGGCACTGACGGCCACCGCTGCGGTCGTCAACGCTATGAAGGCCCACCCGAACGAAATGATTGTGCAGGAAAAAGCCTGCGCTGCCCTGCAGCTGCTGGCGCCTTCCGACGGACAGCGGGAGGTGAGCATGGTCGCTTCTGGAGCTGTGGCTTCAGTGGTAGCGGCAATGCAGGCCCACGTGGGAGACTTCGGAGTCCAGAGGGAAGCCTGCTCGGCCATTGCGGCCATTGTCAAGAACGGTGGCGGGGACCGGGCCACGGTTGTGGCCAGCGTCAGCGGAGTCACAGCCATTCTCAACGCGCTTGCCGCCCACCCCACCTCGGTCCGGGTTCAGGTGGAGGGGCTGCGGGCCCTCTGGCAGCTGACGGACTTTGGCGCCTCGGACGCCTCGATGCCAGAGCTCCCCCGGGAACAGACCGAGCCCCTCCTGACACAGGCCGCGGAAGCCTTTCCGGAGGAGTGCGGGGAACTGGTCGCAAAACTGGCGGACCGCATGAAGCAAGAGGAGGAAGAGGCAGACGACGGAGAATTGGAAGCGAAAGAATCGTAGTGAGAAAAATACTGCCGCGTACCTTTTTCGTTTTGTACATCGACGATGGGCACGACGACTTTGGTGTTCTCGCAGAGGACTGAAAACGAGTCAATTCGAAATATGCCAATAGAATGGAATGCAATGCAATCCAATCCAACTCATCGATTGTTACAATATAGATATACTTGTATGTGTCTGATTTATTGCATAGAATAACAACTAAACCGCTTTTAGTACTAGTAGTGGACTCTCGATGCAATGGATCTACTGTATACGTGTACAAAATGTATAAGTTGACATCTATCTATGACAGGCCGGAAACGTTCGATCTTTTCTCACCAAAGCTACTAGTAAATCGATTGTTTTTTTGGGACTGCATTGTATCTTCTTCATCGAGCAAGAGTGTCACAACACTAATTGAGCATAGCACCTTTTGGTCTACCGTACGCACAGAATTGTTATGATGATGTTGTATCTGCATGGCGTATTATTATGATAGTGGGGAAAAAATCACCTAGTTTTATCACCTGACCGACTAGAAGGATGAGCAATTCTATTCTATCATTTAAAGCAAGAACGCAAGCGACTGCTTTAGAGAGACCAATTGATTGATTGACTATCAACGCAGAATCCGAGGAGGAGTTGCGGTGAATGTCATCATCGCCGAACTCGAGCTCACCGCACATTCTTCGGCATAGGCACTGGGCGCAGCGTCGCTGACATCGGCGTTGGCAGTGCTAATAGTTGCAACGCTGGAGTGCCGAGAAGAGCACGGATGCTCGAGAGTTATTTGGTAGGCGTGGAGATGGTAACCGCAATCCCTCGGCAAAGCTACGCGCATCGTAGTCGAGTGCGTCCCGTTGTCTTCATCACAGTCAATACCACCATCTTCTGTTTCGTCCGATTGGTCCAAGTCCTCTTCTTCTCGTTTGCGAGTTTTGAATGGTCTTGGCCGAACGTCGGGAATTCCACCCGGTAGATACAATGGATCATCCACCAAGGGATATCCAGCGTAGGCCATGTGGATCCGTATCTGATGGGGACGGCCCGTAGGTATTTCGATCTCTACCACTGCAGTCGCCGTTGTATCAAAATTGTGACCGCTATAGGTGTCACTATCAGTCTCGCCGCCATTTTCCTTGTCAACATTCCTCTCATGGCGGGGAATATTCCTACGGATGACCTTTACCAGCGATAGGGCATGCTTGATCTTCTTGTTGTTATTGCTTGCAGTAGTTGACCGCTCCTGAGGCTGGTTCTCTTGAACATCGGAAACTTGATTGTGAAGGTGAACATGACTATACAAAGGGTCAATTTTGTCATTGCTGTCGCCGCTAATTGGACAAGCTGCGTGAATGGAATCCCCTCCGATTGGAAACGGCACCGGCCCGATCGGACAATCAATCATCATGAAATCAGGAATTAGCATTTTCGGTCCTTCCCTTGTCGAGCGTTCCTTGCTACTTCCATCTACCTCGGGACTTCCGTCATCGGTGGCGATAGAGAGCCTTTCGTCACGGCGATATGCATAGACCAGTGCTCGGTATGTTTTTCGAAGCTTGTTGTTGTTAACGTTGTGGCTTTTGAGTCGCATCGCATCGGTCAGACGCTGCCTTCCTAAAAGAGATGTAGCTATCAGTAATATACCGGAGGTTCCCACCCCCAGTCGGTGGACAGGCTGGGGCAGTGCCGAGCAATGGGATCGAATCAATCTTCTCACCGTAGATGTGGCGACAACACAGTGATTTTTTGAAATTGAATCGGTGTTCGCATTCGTATTCGAATAACTTTCTACTTCACAATTGTCTTCATCTTCTTTGTCTTTGGACAGTTCTTTTTCCATGCAATGGAGTTGTCTCAGAGCATTGAGGACAGAAAATTCAAAGTATGTTTGCGATGGCATGGTGGGCAATCTACTAGGTTTGTGAACCACCATCAGGTGGTCATCGATGTACAAGATCTTGAGCTGGCACGAAGGTTCGGGACCAGTATCTATTGTATCATCATGTACAACCACGGCAACAATCGGTTCTCTCCATGGACCCCTGACGTATTCGACCCGCTGCTTTACGTTTGCCTTTGTAAGTTCCATTTCGGCATCATTTACAACGATTCCGTCCATAAGGATTTGTCCCTTCTCGATTCTTCTGCGCCATCCGGATTCCGAAAACCTGTGCCTTTGGTGGTTTGTGTGCGAGGTCATCAAAAAGCGGATCAGCGTGATTGCCCCTGCCGAGGTTGTGTCAGATGATCGTCTCGGAATCGGTGGCACTCGTCCACAGTCGTAGACCCGCCCTCGATTGAATGCCAGCATTGCCCTCTGAGTTCCGATCCCATCATTGCGACAAATCATCCCGAAGTTGTTTTCCATGCCTCTGACTCTTTTCTGAATGTGTCGGTATTATCATTGCAATAAATTGCGTAACCCACGGTAAGGTTGGTTGAGCCTGTCATGTCTTCCCCGATTGTGATACTGGACCGAACAATATTAACGGTAACTGCGGTAGGGTACTTGGGTACTCTCGCATTACTTGCGCTAATTAATGATGGACGCAGCATGATGATGAGAACGCAAGCAGTTATTGTTAATGATCGATGTAGTCGTTGTCGTACTCCTGTGTATTACTTTACGTTATTTTCCGACATAGTACTACCGTACGGTATGGCAGCCGCATGGTACGTACTTGCCCGATACAAGAAATAGCCACTTATCCCCACGCTACGAGTACGTACGTACCCTTCGTACCGTATTCCTAATGGATTCCCAATTCCCAATGGAATATGAATTATGTTAAGTTTTCGTATGTACCATACGTACGGTACTAGGTAGGTAGGTACATTACGAACTGATCGTACAGTACAAAAATTTTGTCAAAATCAGTCGTCCCCGCATGCGTACATTTGTACCTACGTGCACTTGTGAGGATAAATCACGAGTAGTCAATGAATGAGCCTCCCACTCAATCTTAGTGAGCAGCAATGAGCTCACTCTTTATCTTAAACACGTATTTATGCAACTTTAAAGAGTATGTAGATTTCGCAGATTATATTCAATTCACGTACTAGAAGGACTTAAGTGCGTCATATTAGAGAACACACGTAACGTTCGTCCGTAATTCTACTGGGAAGCGAAATGGTGCATGGTTTTCGTACGTTGGAATACCTTACTATTACGCCTAAATCTATGAAAAGAAGGTTTTTTCTTTCTTCCCGAAGATTTAGCGCAGGGTACGGTACGTATGACAAGAAGTTTTTCCTCGCAAGATTTTTGTCACAAAATTACGTCGTTTCAGCCACGGTACGTTCGGACAGTACTGTATCGGTTGAAACCGAATTCGACATTTCTAGCGTCGTAAAACGCACGAAATGGATATAATTGGTACAAGTACGTATTTGTGAATGACGGTTCGAATCTAAAGCGTGCATGCTTCGACGGAGATGCGATTACTCGTTTTTGATATTTTTTTGTGTCAATAATTCAGGTTGATGAAATCACCGGCCAACAAAAAAAAACATAGAGGAATCATTAAGAAGTTATGTAGAATTTTGTGCAGCACTACTCGTATCGCCCTGGTACCGTATTTCACGAGAAATATCATTCAATGGTTACGTAAGCAGATGGTTGGGTAGTTCTGTCTTTGCAACGGAGTAGCTACTCGCCGAGGGCGTGATGCTCCTCGAACTTGAACCGCAGGCACTCCAATAGCTCCGAAAATACATTAATGGCATTGAAGGACAAAAACGAAGCATCAATCGACCTTACTGTACTTTATAACTTCACCTTTCCTGAGGTCACCCTCCATAACCACATCTATCAAGATGATGTCCTATTTAATGCAATCAACAGCCCCTACTTTAGAGGAAGGATGCCTTCTGGTTTCTCGCATTCCTTTGAAGAGAATGGGCATAGAACATATTGAGACTTATAGTTACAAATGCGATATACTCTCCAATAGTAACCTTCCCATACCGAGTGTGAATATACTCAGCGACATCGATGACAGATCAGTTGAAAACACCAACGCAAATGGATCCAAGGATGAGCGGGCGAGCTGCAACATGGTGACTTTAGCTACATTGAGCACACATGAGGGTCTACCATTCAGAGGTGGCTACGAGGAGGCGCTTGCAGTGCGCCTTGCGATCAAGCATCTCAACGATGGCGATGGATCACTCATAAAGGAAGTAGAAGGACTCGATAAAAAATGCAACATTGACTTCAACGTGGACACCATCGATACCAAATACAATCCGGGAGAAACATTGCAATCAGTTGTTAAACGCATTGAGTCGGACTCACTAGGTCCACCATGTGTCTTTCTAGGTGCACAGCCAAGCTTTGTTACGGGACCAGTGGCCGCTCTTGTCAACATGTATGGATACCCACAAATTAGCAGTGAGAACGTCGCACAATTGACGCGCCAAAGTGTAGGGCGACCGTTGCTAACCATCAACTTTCCAGACGATGTGACTACTACCAAAGCCTTTGTATGGTACTTAAAAAAAAAAAAAATAAAACATCTGGCTGTGCTTGTCGTAAACGACCAATATGGACTCGGCTTTTTGGACAGACTTCAAAGACAAGTAGCGATTGAGAAAGACGTATTGGATGTAAAGCCATTCTATCTGAATGTTGACGGATCGAATTTGGAGGAAACAATGATTGATATCAGAAATTCAATGTATCGGTTCATACTTTGCCTTCAACATGGAACTCTGATTCGTGTTCACACTATGATGAAGAATGCCGTACAGAACAACGTGGCCGGAAACGGCAAACATAATTGGTTTTTCATTTACGACCTCCCCGAAGAACTATTTGACTCTATTCAAAACGATTTCAGTCTCTACAAAGCCTATCATGGAGTTGGTTTTTTTGGTCCCGCTGGTGGAAAACCCTCGTCAAATCATGACAGCCCGTCGTTGTACGAATCCTTCCACAAGCAATTACTAGCCCTCAAGGAGGACGAAGAGCTCATTTCGTCCCTAGTGGCGGATAATGGCAATACAAGTCCGCCCACTCAGCGTAATGAAACGATACAATTTCTACTCAACGACGAATCTTTCTTAGATTTGCCCTCGCGTGACATGTTGCCGTACCTCTACGAATCTGCAATTCTTGCCGGTTTGACTGCATGTTCTACTGCCAGAGATGGTATTCATCTTACTGGTAAAGAATTCAACAAGGCAGTGCGAAAGAATAATTTTCAAAGTATAACAGGGCACGTTCGTTTTGATGCCAATACGGGCAGAAGGTGTGATAATAGTACCTACTTCTCAATGGTGAATCATATCGGGAAACATTATGATTACTTCGATGACTCCAACACTTCGCACAGCGAAGGTCGTTTTGACTTTGAGTGGGTGACAACAGACGTATTGAATGAAGGCAAGTGGGAAGAAATCGCGCCCTTTACGTACAGTTCCAATTCTACAGACCTACCCGACGCCGTCGAACCCTTTGAGGAAAAGTCGGAAGTTATGAGTAGCGGATTCAAAGTTTTCGCTTACGTATTATGCACTGTATCGGTTACCATATCCATCGGCCTTGCTATCTGGACCCTGATCCACCGCAAGGAAAGAATTATCAGGGCTTCCCAACCTTTTTTCCTGCTCGCAATATGCTGTGGAACAATACTCCTTGCGGCAACAATCATCCCAATGACTTTCGATGTCGCTCCATCTCACTTCATGAACGAGAATGGAGAGTTCTACGACGTCTCAGAAAGGAATTGTAGAGATTGGAATGTGATTGAAGAAGAAGAAAAACAATGCGTCGAGATGCCCCAAAGCACCGACGACCGAATGATGTTTGCTTGTACCTCTATAGTTTGGCTCGCAACGATTGGTACTACTATAATTATTTCTGCTCTTGCAACGAAAACTTATAGGCAAGTGAAATACCTCCTGGCTATATCGTTTTGACATTATCAACACCTTTCTCTAACCATACTTTCTGCTTCAACGTTGGTTATAGAATCAACAAAATAATGCAGGCTGCAAAACGATTTAAACGTGTCCAAGTCAGAGTTCGAGATGTCGTTTGGCCCATGGTCGCATTTTGGTTTGTGAATGTTGTGATTCTGAGTCTCCTCACCGCGTTTGATCCGGTCCATTACGACGTAGTGGCAGTAAATTTCGATGCCTTTGGTCGACCTTCGACTTCTAATGCATACTGTGACTTCAATGTATACAATCACTCGAAGTATTTTGCCCCTATCATTTTATTGAATAGTGCAGTGCTGTGGTTTGCTCTGTACCAATCGTGGCTGGCGAGAGACCTTTCCACCGAGTTCCAAGAGAGCGAGCATATATACAAAGCCGTTATGGTGATGCTTGTAGTTACGTTTGTCGGGATGCCAGGGGTGTTTATTGCTAGAAGAAACCTGAATGCAAATCTATTTCTTGGCAGCGCCGTCATCTTTGTGATGTGCATCTCCGTCTCGTTGATGCTCTTTTACCCAAAGATACGATACATCCATGGGACAGAAAATCAACGCTTTACCGACAGCAAAAAAGAACTCATAAGATCGAAGACCTTGGTGTTTAATGCCTCGCGTAGCAGCATGGTGCCCTTTAAGCCGGGAGAAAAGGACGCCGACGGCGAGATCATTTATTCGGCAAAAAGCCGAAGAGAATTGATCATTGAAAACAACAAGCTCAAGGACGAACTCAAAAATCTAGAGGAAAGTGTACAGTTGGAAGAGATTAAAGAACAAACCTCGTATTCGGATGATCTTTTGAGCAATTCTTCGGAACTTGAATAATATGTACACTATCATAGCATGACAACACAAAAAGTATAATTTTTGTTTTTATATATGAAAACATTCTTCTCTTCCAACTCTCGAGTCTGTTTGATGAAATTCATTTGGGACGTTTCTCTTATTCCCGTATCATAAGCACACGCATACACACATACTACAAAAGCATCGGTACTTCTCGTTTGGTTTGGTTCGGAGCAGTCGTAATGTCGTCGGGACACAACTCGAACAAGAAGCGCGATGCAGGGCACAGGCAACAATGGCGTGGATTCATTCCGGCAACACCCGGCACCGAATCAACCCGTTCCCGCAGCACCTCGTCTGGTTTATTTCTACTACCCTTCCTTCGGAGTTTCTTTGGCTTCAAATGTACAGGAGCGAGACTTCCCTCTGGGTGTCGACAAGGGCCAGCCCCGTCAGGAAAACACAAGCCCACGCGGCAAAGTAGCCATTCCCGGCAAACAAAAAGGGTCCGATAAAGGTCGAAAGGCACGCGGCAATGATCCACAAAAGAAAGAACCCCAACAAAAAGCCCAGCCGTATCTTGGGATCGAGGCGGTAGTTCCCGCTGTTTAGCCTCGAGTACCCGGCCGTCAGCAATCCGTAAAAGAGGGAAAAGACGGCAACCACCAGCGTGTAGGTAGAAATTTTGTTAAAGGCGTGGTACCGCCAAAAGCCCGAGGGCACGCCCACCGACAGCTCGATGATCACAACGATGGAGGCAATGGTCAAGCCATAGACGCAAGAGTCGGCGTTCTTGGCCTCCCTCTTGAAGAATGCAATCGAGAGCCCGCAATTGCCGAGGGAAAAGATCAGCATGGCCCAGAGCGCAAAGTATCCTGCGAGAGAGTGCGGCAAGGGCACGGAAAGCGGGTTAGGAGAAAGAAACAAAAACAGCACCAACAAAAGCGAAAACAGTGCGCCGCTTGCATACCATTGCCAATGTGCCCAAAGACGTAGCGGCCGCCGACTCCGCCACCGACGACGGTGAAAAATCCCCACGCCACAATGGCCCAGACAACGAGCATCCCGTCGAGGAGCCAGCGGACTTTTTCCAGAACGACCTCCGACCGGGGCCTGGCTTTGGGATTCTCGTCCGATGATCCATCGTGCTCGCCGCTTTCCTTGGCGGCCTCGACGTCGCCGCCGTCCCCCCCTCCGTTCTTGGCGCTAGCGTTGTAACGCATCCAGCCGATCAACCCACCCGACATGAGCACCCCGAAGAAGCCCACCAAAACCGCATAGATATAGTCGGGTCGGGGGAGCGCCATGTACCTCCCGAGCGATCCGGCGAGGAGAATGTCCGATAACACGTCGCTGTAGAATTCGTTAAAGCCGTCGTCGTTGTCGTTGTCGTTGTCGTTGCCGAGCTCGTCGGCCCAGATCGCATCGCTTTCGTAGTCCCCGCTAGCCTGGAGGCGATGGCGAAAGTTGCCCATGAGATCGCTTGCCTCCTTCCGAGGCCTCATCGAAATAGCCGCAAAGAAAAATACCAGGGACGCCGCCAAGTACCCCCAGAGGGGGAGTTCTTCCTCGGTAAAGCCCATCTTGAGGGCCACATCGATCCTCGACAACACAAGGCTGGCTCGGTTTCCGAGATTGTTCGCGGTGGAATCCGGGGCCGCGGCTTTCTCCTCCTCCTTCGGGGCAGGATTCTCGACGTCGACCTCGACGTCGACCTCCTCCCTGTCGTCCTTGGCCTCCCCGCCATTGCTGTCGCTGCCCTCCTCGCCCGGCGCTGGCGGAGGCATTACGTCACCCCACTTTCCATCGTCGTCGTCATCGACGTCGTCGTCGATTACGTCAATGTCAAAGTCTTCTTCGTCCTCGTCGGCGACGTCGTTTTCCGTTTCTTCCGGTTTGTTTGGTTCCGATCCGCCCTCGTTGCTGACGGGCGTGGGCTCTTCGATTTTGTTGGTTTCGCTCTTTTCTGTTTCTTCCACACCGACGGTGGGGGCGGTTGCGGCTTTGCTGTTCTCCGTTTCCATGGTGTCCTGCGGTGCTATAGTGTGCGGCAATGGGTTGCTCTCGGAATCAATCAATCTGTGAGTGAACAAGTAACGCTGTTGGTACTGTTTGGATTGGTTTCGTTTTGTTTGTCAATCAAAGATACGACTCAACGCACTTTTGCTTGTTTGAGATACAAAACGCAAAGCAAGGGCTCGCAAGTCGGTGATGCGTACAGTAAATGCGGCAAGAAAGAACTGCTTGATACAGTGTTGTACCGGTACGTACGATAGCGTACTGTATGTGATTGCACGGATTGTATGGGACAATCTTTGTTGCGGTCTCGATTTTTAAGATGGTTCGGTTCGGTTCCGTCGTACGAGTACGAGTACGAGTAGCGTGCATTGCTTTGACATTTGACACCCCTCTGTTTTGAAGCCTCTAAATTCGCAACTACAAAGCACATGATAGCTGGCCGGGCAGGATTTCAAATTCACAAGCTACAGTACTACAGTATTGCCATCGAAACGAAATGCCGCCAAAAAACGAAAGTATCTAGGCCTTAAAAATACAGTCGTGTCACGATATAGTATGACCCCTGACAGTAAATGCGTACAAGTAGCACGTACCGTAACCTATTAAACTACTGTATCACAGAATCGTGAATCGTACTTCGTTGCTACAGTAGTTAAACATCAAACATGTGACTACGGTACCCAAGTACGTACGCAAAAAAGGTATGTATGGTACTTGGGACGCAATCAAAAGTCGTGCGATCATCTTCAGACGTTCGGAGCTGACAGAACCTGTTCCGGTCAATCGGCAATCCGAACCCACACCGCGCAAACGACGGAAGCAAAACCCGGGGCAGCCGAAACAAAACAGCTCGAGTCGTACGTACCGTACGGAACAAACCATGCCGCCCCGTCTCCGCAGCCGCGAGACAAAACCACCGAGGTTCCGCAACACCGACGCCTCGATCCGGGCCATCCTCACCGAGTCGAGGACCGTGGCCCTGGTAGGCGCCTCCAACAAGAAGCACCGCGACTCGTACGAAATCATGAGCCTGCTGCTGGAGCGCGGATACGACGTCTACCCCGTGAACCCATTCCTCGCGGAGGCGGGGGAAACCATCCACGGCCGGACCGTTTATGCGAGCCTGGGGGAGCTGGTGGGTAAGAGTGCCGACAAAGAACACCCGGGGGGAAGGGCCCGCCGCGGGCGAACACGAACGATCGACCTGGTGGACGTCTTTCGAAAGAGCTCCCACGCCGGGGCCGTCGTGGACGAGGCCATTGCCATCGGCGCCAGGAGCGTCTGGCTCCAGGAGGGGGTGGTCGACGAGGACGCGGCCCTGCGGGCCCTCTCGGCCGGCCTCCGCGTCGCGATGGACGTGTGTCCCTACCACGAGCTCCCAAGGCTGGGGATCCACGGGCCTGCTTCCGCCGGTGAGCGGAGCTTTAGCGACAGCGGGAACAGAACAAAACAAAACAAAACCCACCCACCCACGCCACGACGAACCACGGGGCAGCGTCGAGAGCGACCGCAAACGCCGCAGATCCGGAACGCGAACCGGGGAAAGGCACCTCTAGCGTCCGGGGCACCGACCCAGCGAACGCGAACGAAAAGAAAGAGAACAACAAGCGAAAGAGAACGGGAACGTGGCTCCGATGCCGGCAGTTGACTGGAACCGAAACGCAACCCACGACGCCAGGCCGAAATGCCACCGGGGATTGTTGTCTCCAGACCCCCCAAGAGCATTTGCTTCGCCAGCGGGACGCACAAAATGGCAATGTGACAGAAATAGAATGCTGCGCCATGGCATCGGCTTTAGTTCCAGCCAGACGACAACAGTGTGGGAGAGAGGGTGGCTTTTCTCACGGAACGGATTTGGTCTGGTTTCGAAACACCAGAAGAGAAGCGCAGTGCAACGCGTTCGAACTCAACGCAAAGTAACGCAACGCAAAGCAACCCGCTCGCCTCGTTGGCAAACCTAGATGGTGATGCTAGTGGGCTCCAAGTACCGAGTTCACTGAAAAAAATACCATGTTCGCATTCTCAAAACAATCATTTGGGCAAGCAACATGCAACAGAACACAACCATTCATTGAAAACGAAACGAATAAAGGAATCGCGTTTGTATCAAAATTTTAGCCATAGGTAGCTGCGTTTGCCCGGCATTGCGGTTGTATAAAATTCATTGGCCATAGATAGCTTCGTCCGACCACCCACGCAAGCTTGTTTCATTTTGAATCGGGAAGAGTGTCTCCGCAAAAGCAATCACCAAAAGGCCTCTTTCGGCTTCTTCCTTGGTCGGTGCCGTTGTCGCCGACGTTTCTCCCAAGGTTGTTTTCTTGAAAGGCAAAGGTACTGCTCTCCACGACGATTCGACTCCCGGAACCCTTCTGTTTTACTTTCTTCAGGACGGTTTTGCAAGCGGTCGATATCTTGACGCTGATTTCGTCCTCGTCCTCCATCTTTTCCCAATACCCTTCGTCGTTCCATTTCAGAAACCGACCGCCTCGTTTCTTGGTGATCTCGTTGGCCAGCCACCGGTGTGTCTCTCGTTTCGATGCGGTAAAATCGGAGCCCTGGATCCTTGACACAACGAGTTCTTCAAACAGGACATTCCCCGGGTGGCACATGAGCCGCTTCCCGGGTTTGAAGATCACATCCGTGCTCCCCGGGCACTCTACGATCCTCCCCAGTGACCCATTGGCGCCGTTTTTGTCGTCATCGTGGGCAGACATATCGACCATGACCCGAATTTTTATCCATGGCTTGTGGTGGTTCGTTTTGATGTTCCCGGTACCGGTTACCGGGATTAAATCGACGGGAATTCCGTATTCCCCCAGTGCATAGCGTACCTCCGTGTCCTCTCCAACGTGCAGCTTCATCCGAGATTTGGTTCCGCTTCCGATCCCCCCGTAGAGCACCGCAAACGAACGGACTATTCGGAAGAAAGGATTGTCCGGCATACAATAGTGAAACGCCGCGTACCGGATCGGGACGACCTCATGCCGCTGCGTGATGAGATGGCTAAGCCTACCATCCGAAGGCTCCCGCCTCCTCCAGTCCTTGCAAGGACCACCCGGCCAGACAATCAAGACGACGCCCTTTCGCTGCGTTTCAAGGTCCTCGCTCGCCACCAGCGCCAAGAAGATGAACGTTTTGAGCTATGGAACGTGCGATCGAGTGTGAGAAGAAAGAGCACGCGCACAACAACAACAACAACAACAAAAAACAAAAATCAATTTCAAAGCATTCGAAGCTGATTTTGGCTTGGTGCTTTTGTCGATGCTCCTAAGTGTTAGTTGACGTTGTTACTCACCCTGACACGCTTCTCGCGCAGAACACTCGCGTCTATGATTTGCAGAATAACTCGCCGGCCAAAACTGTCTCGAAACGGCAACATCTGAATGTATCCCATCTGAATCCACTTGATTTCTTTTCTGTCAAAGTCGCTCAACCAGATCTTCCGTTGCAAAGCGACGCTCCCAAACAATTCGAGGACAAAGTCGCAGTACTTCGCCAATCGGACGGCCGCCTCCCGCGCTTCAAACAGTTCAGCCCGCAAAAATCGCAGCCGGAAGTTGCAATCATTGATGTAGGTTTTGGAAAACTTCTGGCTCTGCAGGTAACCGATCTTCTTTTTAAGGGGGATCGCATTGAGCTCGACGTCTAGTCTCGCGAGGGAAGCTGCCAGCATTTCGGGCGTTTCCTCGCGTGCCATACAAGACTTTCCCGCGATTTCATCGGCCACACTGTTGCGATCCGCGATCGACATTTTCAGGAAATCTTCCGCGATGCATTCGTCGACGGCCCGGCTTTTTTCCTGTTGGTAATTCTGGGGCAACGCCGCGTTCATTACGTCGATGAGAGGACTCACCTCGTCATCGTTCGTTTTTTCGCCTTTACTGATTGCCTCGTTTTCTTGGTTGAGGGCTTTCATCGTTGCTGTGGTCGGAAGGTTTGCCTCGTCGTGTTGAGCATGGCGTCTCTCAATTCCTTCTCTGTACGATGCGCTTAGATCAGAGATCGGTTCGTTGGCTCGGATGATACGGCTGCAGCAACACCTCATACGATATTAGTAGTTCTTCTTTTCGAGCCTTCTGCTGTGAGGCTCAATCCCGAGTAGATTGACAGATCCGCGCGAGCGTAGCTTAAACTCATTACTGTACTTTAGAATCTGCAAATAAAGAGTCGGTTATTCACTATTTCCTCGGGATTAAGCCTTTAATAGCAAATAGAAGAACAAGTAGAAGAGCTATATATGAGCACGTGCATAAAGACTGATCGTTGAGTTTTTTTAACTTATTAACTTATATTTACCTGATTTGTAATAGAACAAATCTTATTCTCCTACGAAGTACGAAGTACTACAGTATTCTCGTTCTATTCCTGAACATACGTACACCCAGGGGTCATAATTTAGAGGGGTGCGCGTCGCAGCGAAAACTCATATTCCATGTGTGTCCGAAATTGGAAAATGTCACCCCAGGATTTTTTGAGAACTATATTTTTACTGCATAATACTAGTAAAACTATTCAACTT